GAAATCTGATGAGGTTCAATAAGGATAAGTGCAGGGTCCTGCACTTAGGATGGAAGAATCCCATGCACCGCTACAGACTAGGGACCGAATGGCTAGGCAGCAGTTCTGCGGAAAAGGACCTAGGGGTGACAGTGGACGAGAAGCTGGATATGAGTCAGCAATGTGCCCTTGTTGCCAAGAAGGCCAATGGCATTTTGGGATGTATAAGTAGGGGCATAGCGAGCAGATCGAGGGACGTGATCGTTCCCCTCTATTCGACATTGGTGAGGCCTCATCTGGAGTACTGTGTCCAGTTTTGGGCCCCACACTACAAGAAGGATGTGGATAAATTGGAGAGAGTCCAGCGAAGGGCAACAAAAATGATTAGGGGTCTAGAACACATGACTTCTGAGGAGAGGCTGAGGGAGCTGGGATTGTTTAGCCTGCAGAAGAGAAGAATGAGGGGGGATTTGATAGCTGCTTTCAACTACCTGAAAGGGGGTTCCAAAGAGGATGGCTCTAGACTGTTCTCAATGGTAGCAGATGACAGAACGAGGAGTAATGGTCTCAAGTTGCAGTGGGGGAGGTTTAGATTGGATATTAGGAAAAACTTTTTCACTAAGAGGGTGGTGAAACACTGGAATGCGTTACCTAGGGAGGTGGTAGAATCTCCTTCCTTAGAGGTTTTTAAGGTCAGGCTTGACAAAGCCCTGGCTGGGATGATGTAACTGGGAATAGGTCCTGTTTCGAGCAGGGGGTTGGACTAGATGACCTTCAGGGGTCCCTTCCAACCCTGATATTCTATGAGTTCTATGAGGAAAGGGTAGTTCCCTGGCACACACAAATGTTCTCAGTAAAACTAAATAGCCTTTCCATTGCACATTCCCAGTGTAAAACTACCCCCAAAATAGGTTTGCCCTCATCATTCAGGTTCTCAAAACAGCTGTGCAAATAACTGAAACAAGCCTGATTTGGAATCTCCGGGGAATTCACAGCAGCAAATGAGGACACGATTGAGTAATCTGGGTCAGATTTTAGCAAGTTGTTTGTCTTTTTAAAAGAAATCCTACTAGACTTGCATGTGTGTGACAAATCAGGTGAAGCTCCAATGGATTTGGGACCAGGGTTCTCCAAGCCCAAGAGATGAGTGCATTTAGCTTTACAGGGGCCATGCAAAATTACCCAAAACTTTACACCCACACCACACCCTGCACACACATACACCCCCACACACCCCAGGCCCTATTCTGGTCTGAAATAGAGAAATCAAAAAGGCTTAATTCAGACACAATGTCAGTTTGGTTAAATACCCCCACCTTCAACAAAACAACAACAAAAAACTAGCAGTTTGCCTCCTTCCTAATAACTCTTTCCTGCAGCAACCACTTATCTCCCACTACCAACTAGCTCCTCCAGCCAGCGTACCGCCTTTTTATAACATGCTGGAGGAAATTATGTACCACCCATTCACACAGCTGGCCACGCTCTGCTACTAACAGACCTTGCAAGCCACAGCAGGCAATTGTGATCTTTGATCTGTGTGTGTGTGTGTGAGAGAGAGAGAGAGAGAGTGAAAGAGAGAGCTCTCTGCCAATCCCTGGATGGAATGTAAACACTTAAGTTACATATAAATTCAAAGGTCATATTCAGACTATACAGAAGACCATTAAAAATGGACAACAAAAATGCAGAATGATCCCATCTTCTAGCCATTTTTGTGTTTATTTTGAATGCTGATGAACCAGTGGGCAGAAGATTAGAATGTCCCACAAGGAGCAAGAAAGTAGTACAAGGGAAGAGCCAGAAGCTGTAGAAAAAGTGATTTGGGTTTGTGAATCAGGAAATACTTCTCTGTACAACAGATGACTAACCTGTGTAACTTGCAACTGCAGAACATTATTGAAACAACTAATTTAGTGACACTGAAGAAAATTAGACACATGAATAAGAATAGAAATTGCAATGACATAAACTAGGATAACCTAGACAAGGGCTATCAAATCTTCTGTTACAGGGCACAAATTGATCAGCAGTTTCTGAAAGCCTGCTCTCTAGTATCTCTGAAGCTAGTCTCTTTTCCCATTCCTGTCTCTGAACTAGGTAAAACATAGAGGCAAATTAGAATAGCAGTTGCAACAACATATCACTTTGGTCTCTTCTAGTCCACAGGAAAACAGCAACTTTCATGGACTTCAACTCCATCCATGTGCCTGCTCTGTGAAATAACTAACACTTCAGTGCCTGGACTAAAGTATAACACTGGGCAAAGCAGTTGTCCAACAATAAATAAAGACTTGCTAGCTCTTTATCCTTCTAGGATCCTACCACATTGCTATATTTCCTAAATTACCTGGAATCAGCTGCATGGATAAAAAGGCTAATAAAAGACCACTTGGGATGATTTTAGAAGTGTACGTCTAGTACGTTTAGAAGTGTAAGGTTAGCTGAGTTTTGCTGGGGTGGGGATTATGTATCACCATGCAAGTTTTGCAAACATATAACAAAATGTTGCACATTGAAGGTGCAGTGTATCTGTGCTACTTGGGATGTCAGGCTGAGCTGTGTGCGGCTGGGCAAAGGAGTCTCTCCCGCCTTTCCTTTCCCAAAGTTTGTCTTGCGTTTAAAATTCATCTTCACACGGTGCAAAGTTTATTTCCCCAGGAAACGGTAGCCATTTAAAAGTATTGCTTAGCATTGCTCAGGCGGCTGTTCCTAGCATCTCTGCGCTCCGGATATTGTATCCCTTCTGGACAGCGAGGAAGAGAAATCTTTCTTGGCTATTGTAGTAGCCAGGGTTATGTGGGTATGGTTGCCTTCTGGCAACCCTCCTGCACAGCTCCAGTAGATTCCCTGGGAAAAGGCTGCCTACAAAGCTTTCATGAGGCTGCATATATCTCGGCTCCAGCTGTCTGGTAAGTTCAGATGCTGTTTCTTTTAATGCCTGTCTGTGCTACTTATTGTTACTCCTGTCCAGAGGATCCGGCCAAAATGTAACATAGACCAAAGGGCAAGGCAAACTGCCTCTATGATCCTGCCTATGTTTAGAAAGCTACCACTGCGGAAAACCTGGCTACAGTGCATAGCTGCTGGAAATAGGGATGCTGGGGGTGCTGCCGCACCTCCGGCTTGAAGTGGTTTCCATCATATATGGGGTTTGCAGTTTGGTTCAATGGTTCTCAGCGCCCCTGCTGCAGTGTGGTGCGGATCTGACATGCTTCCTGTGTGGGCTGAACTGAACGTGTTCCTGATTTATGCTGCAGCCCTATTGAAGTCCAGAGCAGTAGCATGATGTGGATATGTGATCAAAACATGGTTCTGTTCCATCTCAACTGGCAAGACCTGGTTGTATTTTAACCAGGTCAGGGCAATGCCATGTAGCCAAGAACCCAGTGTGCCCATTTTCATAGTGTAGGTGGAAGCTTAGCCAGCATCGCTGCGGTTAGTTAATGCTTATTACAAACATGCTCACATGCAACCAAACACATTGCCTCACCCTACACGTTGCCTCCAGTGGTCAGTCTGATGGGTTTGCAGACTCCGCCCTTAATGGGAATGGCTACACAAGCAGAAAATCCCATGGCTGCCCCTCCCAGCACAGCGTGACTGTGGCCATATTGTCACCTGATGTCAGGCATGCTAAACATGCTAAAAATGCTAAACAGCCAAACAGCTTCAGTGTCACAGCTCTCAGCCCAGTGCTGTACCCTGTGTGGATAACAATACATAATGTACATCCTCACCATTGCAATTCAGAGTACGTTGTAAGCTGTATTGTGTACAGTTCTGATCGAAGGACTCAAGCAATTTCTTCCTTTTGTGCCCAGTAGTATGATTTCTACATAGCATCGGAAACAGTGACACTTTTAAAATTAAAATACAAAAGACATAGCACATGATCAGTTTGAAAAGCTGGAGGGTGTCTATAAATCCTGTCTGAAGTCAGACACGTCTCTCTGCAGATAATGTGAGATTTGTTACCATAGACAGGAAACAATGCTTCCAAACTCCTTTTATGGATAGACATTTCACAGACTTAGATTTTAAGCTCTTTGGCTCAGGAATCATCTTTGTGTTATGTGTTAATACAGTACCCAGCAAAGTGGGGCCCTGATTCTTGATTGTGACCTTGGGCCAGTCAGGTCACATCTCTGTGCAGCAGGAAAACGTGGCTAATAACTTACCCATCTTTGTAGAGCGCTTTGAGGTCTTTGGATGTAATGCACTAGATGCATGTGAACTATTCCAATGAGGAGGAAAATGGAAAAATAGGGAAAATGCATCTAATTGTGTTTTTAACATGCATAAGTATGATGCAGACTCCAAGTTTCAATTCTAGTGCAGAATAAAATGTATCCTTTTTATCAAGATTGATTTTATTTTATCTAAAATTTATAAGAGCTAAAATAAGAGTAGCTTTAAAAACAAAACACAACTACTTAAGATCCTTTCCCAGAGAAGTATCTGAATACACCTGCAGACAAGGAAAGAAAAACCAATGATATTTGAAAAGAAGAGTTGAAAAATTCTTTTTTCTCCTCTCATAGTTGATGACTTCACTGGTGCTAACTCAGCCTAAGGAATGCCTTTCCTTGCTCAGCTTTAGGTGTCAATGAAACCATTAATAGTGGCAGGACAAATCTTAAATGACGAACCCAGGTTTTGACATGGGAAACACTTTTCACTAAAAAGAAAAGGAGTACTTGTGGCACCTCCTTTTCTTTTTGCAAATACAGACTAACACGGCTGTTGCTCTGAAACTTTTCACTAAATGTTGGTGTTGCGGCCTTTTTCTGTATTGTGCTACATTTCATGCCAATTTTGTATGTACATGGACAAGGGCTATAGAGGAACTGAAGTTGTCTCTCATTCATCATGTGAGACCCCCTTTAGCACCTGTGAATTAATACAGATATCTTCTCACAGGACTCAACCTCTAAGCTGATACATATCCAGTGGGTGTCAATGTGCCCTCTAATGCAGCTTGCCTGAAGCTAGTACCATTTTGTTTCCATCTTTCCCAGGACCACGCGGACATTGAGTGGAAGTTTGCCCGGACAAAGCTGTGGATGAGTTACTTTGATGAAGGTGGCACTCTGCCACCTCCATTTAATATTATCCCAAGTCCCAAGTCAATCTGGTACCTTTGCAAGTGGATCCACAAGCAACTGTGCCCAGACATGGACTCTGAGGATGAACAGAAGAGGCATGAAAACCTAAAAACATTCACAGTAAGGAGCCTTATATTTGAGTATTTCATTTGCCCAGAGTATTATTTATTAATTCAGGCTCACAGATTCCAGTATCCCTTTGCTTTTAGTAGTGGGCTACTGCTGGGCCACAGCTTCCAGCGAGCCAGCAGGAGACATGGAGACGTGACTGATCCCCATGTAATATACTTGTACCTATTTAATTGCAGGAACGGCACGCTGACAACCTGATTCAGAATCAACATTACCAGGTAAAGCCTCTAGTTCATTAAGTCATTTATTGCCTATTTCTTGCTCGTGCTTGATTCGTGACGCCTTGCTGGCTGCAAAGTGCTGTAATATATTTTGACACATGTGCAAGCTCTAAGAGGTTTCTGCTCATTTTGCAATAAAATATGCATGGCTTCTTCCAAACGGTCTATGTGGTTTGGCTCCGCGGCTCACTTGTGGCCTTTCACCTCTTCACATACAGTGCAAAAGCTGGGTGAAATTCCCGTTGACTTCAGTGGAGCCAAGATTTCATGCCTGGGAACGTGGTGAAGTGAAATCCTCATCAAAATTGCTGCTTTAAAAAGTCAAAAAGCTTAGCCTTATTTTTGCAATGAATTCCTAGATTCATCACAAATAAGGAACAATTGGAGTATTTTTATGACTGAGGAAGGCTCAGATGAGAGGAATGTTTTCTTCTGCTGAAAAGACTTTTGTAGCTTCTATTTAGTCTTACCTGCCCAGGTTCAAGAGTTCATCAGATACAGCTTATAACAGGATGAATCTGTATTTACAATACCAGTTGCTTGAACCCAATTGAATGCATTATACCAGTATTCTGGAAGGAAAAACGATAATAATAATAATAAATCCCCCTGAATGTTGTTATATAGTACATCTGGCCTACATTTTCACAAGTGACCAATGATTTTGGGTGCTTCAATTTTTAGGTGTCTAAAATTGAGACACCTTAAAGGGGCTTTGTTTTCAGAAAACAGGCACTTGGTACTTTTCTGAAACTCGGGCCTCGCTTATATGTCTTAATCTGGGCACCACAAAGTCAAGGGATCCACAGCCAGCCTTGAAAATGTAGTTCTCAGAGCTTTTTGACTTCACCGGGCTGTTGACAAAGACGATTTTCAAAGATGCCCCGGGAGTTAAGGCTTCCTTTGAACATCCTGCCCTAAATAATTCACCTTGACAATCTGCCTGAGGACATGCATCATAGATTTACTCTCTCCACTTACAGACACAGAGAGGTTGAGGGCAACATTTGTAGTGGGAAGAGGCCTACTGGCATGCTGAAAAATGTGTGCGCAATTGCACACCTATGTTTGTGAACACATCTACAGGGTCTAAAAAACAATTTGCCTGTGTAATTATAGCAATGACATGCACAAAGGCAGGGGCAAACGAGCACATACTTTTACTTGCACAAATGGATCTCTTCCCACCAAAAATTCAGTCTGAATTGAATAGCCCAGGACCACAGAAGGAGTCAGAGACCTGGGGCAAGTCACTAAGAGCTTATCCTGTGAAGTGAAGAGCATGCTTAGATCCCAATACCAGCAATAGGTGCTCAAGGTCTGGGAGCCTTGCAGGATGGAGCCCTTAATATATGTTAGACTGATTACCCTCAGGATAGACTATGCCCTTGGGTAGATGTCCATGGTTCCCATTTACTTCAATGGGACCCCAGTTTATATCCAGGTGGGCTAATGTGGCTCTAAATGAATCCATCTAGTTTTGGCTGTTCTTCAGCAAATGTATTTGTTTAGCTATGGAGATGTCCATGACTCATGAGTGTGGGAAAAACAAATCTCCAAGTGTCATATTTAACAGTTCCATAATACCTGGCATATATATGAGACTTGTACTGAAACTTTAAAAGCACTTGACATTCTTTAACCAATTAAGACTCATATTATCCCCACAATGTGGGTAATTATCCTTATATTACAAATGGGGAAAGCAAGGCAGATAAGTTAAGTGGCTTGAAGTTATGTGTCAAATTAAGAAGGCTGAGACATGAATTCTCTTCTCACACAAGCATTGTTACATACACACAACACGAGTACAGGACTTTGACTTATGCTTAACGCTGAACTTTCAAGATGCAAGATCTATAACTCTTTATAATGCTTCATTATTTTGAAAGAACATCCCCCATTTTTCAACATCAAAGGCAGGTCTGTGACTCCGCAAACAGTGGGACAGAGACGTCACAGACAGTGAAAACGCAATGAGACTGCACTGTTTGGCCTCAATAAGTAGGTAGCTGAATCATTCATGTTCTTTTATGTTTCAGGAAGTGATCAGAAATCTAGTGAAAAGATATGTTGCAGCAATGATACGAAATTCCAAAACCAACGAGGGATTAACTGAAGAAAATTTTAAGGTAATCCATTTTTCTGTAATACAGTTGCCTCTCATAACAATTCCTTTTGCTACACTAAGGCCTGGTCTACACTGGGGGGGGAGGAGTGGGAAGGATCGATCTAAGATATGCAACTTCAGCTACGAGAATAGCGTAGCTGAAGTCGACGTATCTTAGATCGACTTAGAATCCCTTACTTTGCGTCCTCACAGCGCGGAATCAACGGCCGCCGCTCCCCCCGTCGACTCCGCTTCCGCCTCTCGCCGTGGTGGAGTTCCAGAGTTGACGGCAGAGCGATCGGGGATCGATCACTACCCACTGATCCGGTGGGTAGTGTAGACATGGCCTAAGTGATGCCTCCTCCTTTGTAAAGCACTTTGAGAGCTACTGATGAAAGGATTATTCAGTATTATTTGTGCTGAGCATACCTGTGACATGTATGTCTATGTGCATTCTTGTGAGCAGGCAGGGTTCCTGCCGCCCTCTGGTTCCGTCTAGGCTTTAGCAGTTTAGCATGTTCTAAAGTACAATCGGTTTGTCTGGACTAGGATTTTAGAAGGTGTTAATCAGATTGAGCTAACTTCATTTAACATCACATCTTTAAATGCTAGTCTAGATAATACCAAAGATTGTGTGCATGAATAATAACACCAGTGGCAAGGAATATAATTATGCAAGGTAGCAGACCAATCAAAGGCAGCCATGAAGAGACAGACTTAGATGATAATCAACAGATTAAACATTACAGCATGTGTGTGACAGATAGGCAATGTCATTTCCTTAGTATGCCTGAGTTTCTAGGGGAGTCAGCCCCAAAGAGCTTTTAGGTGACATTTGTCACCTAAGTTAAAATGTGGGGCCCATCAACTAAGACAGAGTCACATTAATGTTTGTAAATTTCAGCAGAGCCCCCTCTCCCCCATTCACTCCTTCCATGAACATCTTCATTAGGTTTTTAAAAAATAATGATTCCTTTTTTTTCTTGGTGTCAAGAGGGCTGGCCTAGTAGCCGTTAGAGACATAGAGAGGTTCTCTCTCTAGGCACAGAATTACTAAAATGTTCCTTCAGCCACTGAATAATGAAAGATTTATCCGGTATTCTTGTACATAGTGATTTGGTATCAGACATTTGCATAACTTTGAACACTCCTCTCAGGGGAATACAATCATTCGTTCATGTCCCAGATGAAGCTTCTGAGTGTAACTCGTTTTCCCTCTTGCCTTAGGAATTAAAGCAGGACATATCTAGCTTTCGCTATGAAGTCCTTGACCTCTTGGGAAACAGGAAACCCCAGAGGAGAAGTTATTCTACTAGCAGCACAGAGGTCTCCCAAAAGGATGAAAACAACGAGGATGGTTCTGGAGAAAAAGCTAAAGCCAAGAGTGTTTCTTTCAATATAGCCAACAAGAAAAAAGATTTCAATGTGTCCGCTCTGATTAAAACTATGTCGGGGATCGAAATTGTGGAAGAGAAGCCAAAAAGCAACGGAATAAATAAGCGCTCTTTCGTCCGAAACGGGAATAGGGTTCAGAGGCTTTCGAGCTCCAAGAAAGAGTCTTTCAAGAGGCTGGGTCTCCTATTCTCTAAGATGAATGGCCATGTGCCTGAACCAAATTCAGAGCCTATGTACACTATTTCAGACGGAGTTATTCAGCCGCATTACATGTGGCAAGACATGAAATATTCTCAGATCAAAAAAGAGAGAGAAGAGAACTGTTCCAAAAGTGAAATTAACCTCAATGAGGTGGACTACAGTGGGAATATGAGACTTACAGGACAGAGCAAGGAATGCCCTATGGTTTGTACCAGCTCTCTTCACTGTGCTTCCAATATTTCCTCCTCTAATTCCAAACTTATAGACTCCACCGAGGATGTGTTTGACTCATGGGGAGAGACCTGTGACTTGCTTATAAACCAGTGGAAAGATGGGCAGGAAGATCATATTACAACTCGGCTATAAGTAAAGCTATTAAACACCTGCTATAGAACGTAGCTAAATATTTGTAATTGTTTGCTATCACCGATGATTCAGAGTCAGGATTCCCTTTCGGTTCCTAGCATCGGGTCTAGAACTCTAGTTATGTTAGCCTGTTTTATAGCCACCTTTACCACATTTTTTTATTTGCTTTTTTTACACTCACTGATGCTGAACTATTTACCAGTTTGGGCCAATTTTAAGGATGTTCAATACTTAGCAGCAGAGGGCAGACTGATGTTCCCTACCAATTGCTATGCTTAGCCTGTGTGCGCTTACTGTAAATCCCAAGGTTCTTTTATTGATGCAGATCGAAGCTTCAGCTCCCATAAACCTCAGACGTTTTGGTGGCAGAGTAAAAGACCTGTACAGTTTCTTTCCTAATCCAAACTATCTGGTTGTTCACTGGATGTCAGTCAGATATTACCCCCTGATTCAATGGGTGCAGGGATTGGGTGGGAGACAGAAGAAGGATCATAGTGGGCCAGGCCTTTGAGGGTTGCTGCTCTTCCTGCTGGGATGGGAGGTGGGGAGGAGATCAGGAGTCAAATGGGCCCGGGGAGGGGTCAGGAATGGGGGAGGTCAAAGAGGGCCCAGGCCTAGGGGGCTGTTTCCGTCTCCATGGGGACTAGGGGGCCTTTGCCCTGTATGCAGTCTGAGGACTGGTCCAGCCTCTCCTTGAACTCCAGCCCGCTGCTGGTGGGAGCGGTATCCCTGACCCAGTCACCTTGGGCGTCATCCAAAGTGAGATCTGGATTTGGCCAGGGTGGGTGAGTCACTCCCTGTACTATCAATGGCAGGCACAAAATCCGAATGGTTCTGTGAACCTGTGGACCAGGTCACACCACCCCCGACTCAAATTTGTCCCATTCGCCCCTCCATTACAAAGGACGAGCAGCAGGGCCAAACCTGAGATGGGGGCCCTGAAAAACTGCACTCAGTGCATCCCAGTTCATCTGGGCCTGATTTCCTTGAGTGCAGTTGAACCCATGGACCCCTGCTCAAGCCACTCCTGCTGTATGTTGCACATTCTCCTCAATTCACTGGTCCATGGTACCAGCTAATGAAAAGTAGCTTAACTGGAGACTAAGAGACAAACTGGTTTCCAGTTATAACTGGCCTTTTTCTTTTTTAAGCAATACAGCCTCTGATTATTTCATTTGTGTGTGTTTTTAAGGTTGTACATTATAGTCTCAATGTAAACTATTTCTGAAATGAGAGAAGTTTATCAGCCAGTTACTATCACCTGTTAAGTTATGTGCTCTGCTTATAGTTATCTCATTTTTCAATTATCGGCTACATTTATTTAGTAATCCACTGGCCCTCTCATTAGAAGTAGAGTTACGTACTCCTTTTACACTGAAAGAGAAATTGACGGACTGGCATAGTTATAGGGCTCTGCATAAAGATGGGACTGAACCACAATCGAGGATCCAAACATCCTTGCCTGTGTTTGAACTACAACCCGCCGTCTGAATTTTACAAATGGCTCCTTTGTCTTTGTAATGGATTGCACCAAAGCCCCACATCTGAGCCACCCTGAATCTCTTGCTGTTTGAAATTCAGATCTGAATTTTGTGTCTTGAGCCCATCTCTAGTGCTGCCTTACCTTTTTTGTTGTCTACAGATTTTTCAGTCCTGGATGGTACAATGTTTTAGGCAGAAAACTGATCTCCTGCTGTGCTATCAAGCTCTAAGAAAGAACATCTTCCTTGGTTTCATTAATTGCATTCCTTAAAACCAGGCTAAGCAATACCAGCTTGAACTTTGCCCATGCAATTTCTATTCTAGATGAACCAAAATGGAACACGGCAGTAGCTATCCCTTGTTATTTGTTTCCAGTAGTGCCACCGTGTGCTAGGCACTGTATAAGCATAAAGGATGGTACTGTCCCCGGCCCAAACAGCTTCACAGTCTTAAGGAGACACACAGACGAAGGGGAAGGGATGTAATACAACCTACAGTTGATGAAGGTGGTGATTCTGATAACGCAGTGCTTGATAACAGAACTTACTTGGTTGTTGCTGCTGAGATATGTAGACTAGCACCAATCACCTCTCTCCCTTGCCATTATCAGTCAGTAGCTTTCTTATAGGAATCATGGTGGAAGTAGACCTTCAGAAGGGTATTAAGTGATTTGCTTAAATCAGGGCCTGAATGTGCAGCGGGTAGTGGCTCAAGAAGGGTGCTCAGTAGAGCACATGAGGCAGCATGTATTCTCCCCAGGAGAAAGACAGATTAAGTGGCACCCATGATTTGATGCACAGATTTCCTTAAAAGAAAGCTACCCTGGTTAGCTCAGGGCAGTGATCTTCAGGGTTCTGATCCTATGAGGTGTTAAGCTAGCTCAGTTCCTGCTGAAGGGAATGGAATTGAGACTTCCAGGATCAGGTCCTAAGCGCACATGGCTGTGGATTGTGTTTGGAGAAGGATTTACTGTAATAACACTGGAAACGTCTGAGCCTGCTGTTGGGTGACACACATTTTTTATGAAAAGTGGCTGGAGCTCCAGGGACTCCCTGTTACTAGCTCCTTTCCTGTTTTAACATTGGAAGAGGAGTTCAAACATCAAAGCATGACACATTTTGCCTGATTATTAAATACCAGTTTCTCTGCCAGTAGGAAAGCTGTTTTGGCAGATGGTTCATTTGGGCACCCATATGTTACAAATGAGGTCACATCTCAATCCGGAGGAGCCGAAACCAAAAATCTGAGCTCCTAGACCCAAGAGCTTTCAGGAAATTACAGATGTAGATCTGAAATTCGCAGCTAGCCTCTATCGCTATTATGGGCCAAAACAAAACCTTGGGTCTCAGCACGCAAGCCTTCTGGAGAGTTTCAATGCAACTCAGTCTGGACTTTGTGGCTCTAAGCCAGCTCTGGTTTTCAGCAAGATGAGCCACTGGTGTAGAGGCCCTGATTGCAAATTCCATTGGCCATGCTACTTGAACCCTATGCAATAATTCAGCCCTAAATATTTAAGCCTGTCCTGCAGTTTAGTCAAGTTGAAAAGTACTTTTCACCATCAGCTCAACAGCTTTCAGGCTCTCATGCTTACAAGGTGGTTTGAATTATCTTTGACCCTACATTTTCTCTTCTTGTGAGGGGGAACAAAGCACTGACATGGTATTGCACAACGAAAATGTGCAAATTCCCAGGCTGAGAGGGAGGTTGCTGCTCATTCATTAACAAATCCAGCCTCCCTTCATACTCCTACCCTAAAGCCAGCTATGCACCAGGATGGTATTCAGGGTGGATTGAAGGGAATAATGAAAGGAGCATCCCTACACCCCAGAACAAGCACCTTCTGAAAACTTACAAACCAAGCTGACCGAGCATTTGTCTAGGAATGCAAGCATTTGAAAGAGCAGTTAGCTGGAGGCAGAGATGTCTGAAATCACTTCATGCTTCACCTACCCACTTTGTAGTTTATGAATCTTACTCTGAATGGGGCTGGCCAGCCATAGTGCTGTTCCCTGGCTAGCAAGAAAGAATAAAAATCACTACTGGGATGGCAATGCAGATTCTATCAGCTGAGCTACAATCAGGGTTCATGGCTCTCTGAGTGTGAAAGGGGTTTTACTTCCATCAGGACAGTGAGCACACTGCTATTGGCCGTGATTCCAGCCTGTTGTTCAACTGCAGCATTCTTGTGTCAGCCAGTTCACACATCAAACAATCTGATCTGATGAAGTGAGCTGTAGCTCACGAAAGCTCATGCTCAAATAAATTGGTTAGTCTCTAAGGTGCCACAAGTACTCCTTTTCTTTTTGCAAACAATGCTAGTTACCACTCTGTAGCAGTGCATAAACAGAATGCAATAGTGACTTCTGGCAACACAAACCCCATCCGTGAAACCAGCATTAGACCTTTTGCCTTGCTGTGCCTACAGATAGGAACCGATGCATTTTAACATAACAAGAGAGTGCTGTACACAAAGATCTATGGAAAAGTTACATTGAGGGTGAGAGGTATGTTGTGCCACCATGGCCAGGTCTTCTGGGGATTTGTTTTGTAGCTTAGGTATTTTTCACTCCCTAACTGAGAGCTAATTACATCAAGCCTTTCAATTGAACACAACTCTTTTATTACAAAGAACCACCCTATATAAAGAATAAAGCACCCTACTGGGCATTTACAAAACTTTCACACTGCTCCTACCTGCCAGCCAAAGCAAAAGGCCCAGCTTCTCTTCAGTGATGGCAGTAGGACCCCTTGGAGTTAGTTGTACTAAAGCCAGTTTTAAAAAGCCAACTACTTTTTATGGTAAGTTTCCTGAGGAAAAAATCTTTTCTTCAATAAAAACCAAAAGTGAAAACTGGTAAAAGAATGTTATTTTCTTATGAAAAAATTGTTTTGGGTAAAAAAAAATTTGAGTCAAAGAAGCCAAAACCATTGACCAAAATGAAGATTTTTCCATTTAAAATTTTTGGTTTGGTTGAAAAGACATTTTAGAGTTTAAACATTCATTGAAACATTTTTCGTTCCCTAGATTGCCCGTGGGTGTGGCTGAGAGTAAAATTTAGAATTTCCTTGGAAAGTTGTAGTAGGGGGTAGATCTTTTTTCACGCATCGGTTCTGCACTCACAGCTCTGGTTGGCCTTTATTCTTTGTGTTTCAACACTAACGCTCAATATGTGCAAAGAAACTCAAAGTTAAGAATATTTACTTTATTATTTTCCCCCTTTTTTGAAGATCTTTAGATATTGCTCCTAAATTACACATCTCCCAACTCTTCGAAGAGACACTCTCAAAAAGGAACCAATGATCACAAAAGCACACAATTACATTTAACATGTAGTATAAGTAAAACTGAGGTATTTATATTGAGGTCAGAGATTAAGGAACCCATTTCAGAAACAGGAAATTAAGTAAAGACACCTTTGCAGAATTCTATTTAAATAGTTCTATTTTTAAATTAATTCAACACATCAGTAGATATACAAATACTTGACTATTTACATAAGTGATCTCTACAGAGGAAGCATATCTAGTGGTTTGAGCATAGGACCAGGAGTCATGAAACCTGGGTTCTATTCCCACCTCTGCTACTGATTCACTAGGTGACCTTGGGCAAGTCACTTAGCTTTTTATGCCTCAGTTTCCCCATCTGTAAAATAGGGATAATATATCTACCTACCTCGCAGGGGAGAGGGGCTGTGAGTCTTAATTATTTAATGTTTGTAAGCACTTTTGAGATCCTCAGATTAAAGGCGCTATATACAGTAAGCAGACAATGTTAGTAAAATATTTTCATTTATTTTCTTACAACTAATTCAGGTAAGGTTTTATCTGTCAACTGTGACAGTTTTCCACAAACAAAAAATAGTGTGCTTTTCAGACAGGAGGCTTTAGGAAATGTCTGCAGTTGACAGGTACCAAGAGCAGGGTCACCTAGTAGCCTAAACTCTGAACATCCTTGCTTTCATGGGATTACGTCTCACCTTTAATGTTACTTTATTGTACTTATTTGTGTTCCACATTCTTTTTCTAATGGTATGCTATGTAATATATTTTTAGCAGAAATAGAAAGAAATGTAAATATTAAGACTTGTAATATTTAAATAAATGATATATAATTAGTGTATAAATAAAACCTTACATTTTAAAGAGATTAAAATTGGTTAATGCACTAGACACGTAACAAGAGGGCTTCCTGTACAGTCTAGCATTACTACATGTACACATGGCAAGCAATCTGAATAGGAATAGGTTAATTTTTACCATATATAATTAACCCCATAGAGTGAATGGTCTTATGCATTACCCATTGCTGGCAATGGGAGCTGTGTCTGAAAACCACTATTACTGACATGGAGTTAACATAATCAATAGGGATACGTATGGTAGCACACAAAAAAAGGGAATGCTCATGTAGTATGGGAATTGTGTAACCACCGTACAATTACACTTTACAATTGTATGATGAGATGTAGCACATCACTATGTACAAGCAAAAAGTCGTGTAACTCCCATAGAAGTTGTGAGTGAAGCCCCATCCTGATCCTTGTGATATCAATGGCAAACCAATTTATTTCAGTGGGAAGAGATTCAGGTCCTACCCTGCTAGAAATGTTTCCTAGTGTTGTTTATATAACATACATTACACTGAACTCATGTTTTTTCTTCCTTCGCCACTCCCAAATGTGGCCATAGATTTGCATGGGCATAGCTTACATGCGGCTATTTTTATTTGCTTCCCTCTTAGGTCCAAATTCTGCAGTCCTTACTCAGGGAAAAGTTCTAATCTACTTCAAAAGGATTTTAATCTGAGTGCAGACTGTTATGTTCTTGTACCAGATATGGACTAGCTACAGAGCTTGGTTATACACACCGGACATGTTCATCATAAGATCTTTTACTGTTCTTTCAGGTATGGCTGAGTTTAGTTTTAAATAAGGTGTTTACACACAGAACCACCTAGTGGCTAAACAGTATAATACATCTTAGTATTCCATTACACTCCCCTTTTAAGTTCTACATGCCTACCATTTACAATATCACACTGATATGTACTGAACTTAAAAGATAGTGTTAAGTGTCTCTTAATTGTACTGGTTTTCTAATTACATGACCCGAACATGAAACAACTTGGTCATCTGGCTGTCCATTAGCTGCAACAACTGGCTGTGGTCAGTCAAGAATCCCTGAGTCATTGTGTTCTTGTTCTGCCATCTGTAGTTTGTTTTGTTGATTGCTCTTTCTGAGAAACAAATTGTAGATGTCTGTGGTTTCTGTTGAACTCTTCACTGTCAGTCTTGATCACAGATAATCGGACTGCTGAATTCTTTTTCTTTATGACAGCTGGAGTTGTCCATCCCTTTTCTCCATCCAATTTTACATAAAGTGTCACCAGGTTTTAGACCCAGTAGTTCTCTGAGAGACGTCTGTGGTAAAAATGTTCATACGCTCTTTTAGCCTTTTTATCTGACTTGGCTACTTTCTTCATGCCTGGCCACTTTGGAGGCAGATTCTTTTCCAAAGTTGGAACAGTAGTTCTGAGTTGTCTTCCCATCAGGAGTTGTGCTGGACTACATCCAGTAGCTGCTATTGGTGTAGATCTGTAACTCAGAAGAACAAGGAACGGATCTTCTTGCTGTAGTGTTTTCTTGGCTGCCTGTATAGCTCTCTCAGCCTCTACTCGCTTGTGGGTATTGCTAGTAATATGATCAAAATCATATTTAATTTGGAATGACAAATTCTGCTGCAGTTAATTGTGGTCTGTTGTCTGTCACTAGTTGTTCTGGAATACCGAAGTGAGTAAAAGTGCACTTCAGTATCTCGATAACACTGTGACATGTCTTTCAAGTACATTGTTTCTATATCACTGGAAAAATAGTCCATGACAATCAGGTAACCATGTCCTTTGAATTCACACAAAATCTGCAGCTAGTCTCTTCTAAGGTATCTCTAGAAGAGATGTTTCTACACATATGGTTCAGCATTGTCTCTTAAGTTGATTTGTACTAGATCTCCTTTCAAAAGCCCAGTATCATCAATTCCTCTATCCCTTTCTCACTCTCCTGGCTGCCACTGAAGCTGAAAAGATTGTTGATCTATGATCCTTTGATCACATGCACTCTGAATGCAAGACTTTTGCCTTTGTAAATTGTTTCTGTGATGAACTGGGCCCTGCAGTTCAGAATGTCTCCAGGGCTAGTCACAGCTGTGTCAGGTGAATTCAGCTCTGGGAGGGGTTGAAGGTGATTGTAAGTGCTTCTGAGATGAATATGACATCAGCTCCTGAGGCAATTTTAAAGTCAATAGTCTTGCCATAAATATTTAGTTTCACTCTACAGGCAGGCTCTCCATCATCACATATGACATCACATCCCAGAACAATGGATCTTGATTGTCTCTAATATGAGCACTCCCTGATTGCTTTGGTGCAGCAAACAGCTGCAAAATGTCCATATTTCGTGCATTTATTACATTGTGTGCCTCTGCCTGGACATCTGTCATCTCTTGAGATATTACTTGTTCCACATCTTGTGCATGTACGTTGTATTTTGTCCCTCTTGGCTTGGGTGTTCTCTCTCCTTGCCTCAGGGGTTTTATGATTATAACTTAACATTCCAGTATCTGTTTACAGTTTCTAAACTAGTTTCAGGTTTCTCAAGTTGCTCCTGCCTTTTGTTCTGTTGTTTGACTAATTCTGACTGCTTTGCTATCTGCATAGCCGTGGCTAGGGTTCAGTCTCTCTTTAATTGTATCTCTTGGGAAAGATTTTTTTATGTTAACCCAATAACAAGCTTGTCTCTGATATTTTCATATTTTGCATTCCCAGAATCACAGTTTTCAGCCAATGTATGTAATGTTCTTATAAAACATTCAACCTTGCCCCCTGGTTCTTGAATTCTCTGTTGAAAATACTCTCTTTCATGAACCACATTTCTCTGGGGTATAAAGTACACATCAAACACAGCACCAGAACCCTTTCATAGTCATCTCTGTGACTGTCTTCAGTAAAGTCAAAAGATTTAAAGATATACTCCGTGTAGCATAAATTAAAGAAGATACCTGTACATCTCCAGCTTCTTTGTGGAGCTTGGTAGCAATGCAAAATCTTGCAAAACATTGTTTTCAGACTAACAAACCTTCACAATGGACAAAGCTGAAGTTCTCTGTGGCACTGAAGAGTGGCATGCTCATAAGATCCTGCAACCTTTGTTCCTTCTCTTTCTGTTGTTAGTTTACTTCTGCCACCATGTCATATTCCTGTACCAGATATGGACTAGCTACAGAGCTTGGTTATATATACATTAGATGTGTTCATTAAAGATCCTTTAATGGTCTGCCAAGTAGGGCTAAGGTTGGCTTTAAATAAGGTATTTTACACACCGTGTCAGCTGAACAGTACAATACAGTTTAGCACTCCATTACACTGAGTGAGCAGAGGGACTAAGATTTGGCCCATTTCACACTGGGATTGTGCTGTAAATTCTTATGGGGAAGTGAGCAGTGCATTATACCAATGGGCAAATGGCAAAAGACTTAGAATTTGGATTTAGTTGGATAAGTGCCCAGCAGTTTGGATAAGCATTGACTTCTTTGTGGGGCTTCAGACTGAACTGGAAAATTGTGCAAGAACCAGCTATTTTCATGAGGTTACTAGTACTTCCTACTTCGGGATGGATTGCAATGCTTTTTGCTTTTCATGCTTTTTCAGCATTTCCAAGAATAGAATCTAGAAGGAAAAATTTTTATATATAATGTTAGCTGGAAAAGGTTGAATGTTGGTGAATTTGGTTCAGTATCAAAATGGTAGCTAATCCCCATCTCATTAGCATTGCCACAAGTGTAAATTTTAGACATTAAGCAGTCTCCATGGCTGATTTCCACATGAATACATTAGTATTTCCACCAGTCCACTAGCATGTTACATTTAAAAACTAGTTTTAGATGGGTTTGGTTAGGCACATGGAAAAACAAGTCTGAACCATTTTTAAAACCCTGGAATTACTAAAAGAAATTGTTTAACAAAAAATGCCTTTGGCCAATTTTGAAATAGACAAGGTATAATTTATGCCTTCCCCTCCTCACAAGAGTGGGTTTCAATGGACATCAAATCTCACCAATATATTGTAGCCTTATGTCATAGAGGGAGGTAGCACAAGTGTAACTGGCATGTTGAAGCAGAATCACCCATAGGGAAGCACCTGTGACTCTCAAATGCATAATGGAGAAATTAATTAGAATCAGTGAGTCTACAGTGAATAATAAACAAACTCAATGATGGAATTTCTAAAATAAAGTGTTACCAAAATAGTCTGTAGCTTACTAAACATGTTAAATGAAACCCAATTACTATAAATCATTTCCCAGAACTAAAACAAGATTTTTTTTTTTTGCTTGTGCTAACCATTCAAAACAAGCATTTTTACTCCTTTTATATTATATTATCTGGCTATATTATTCCCTATCCTGTACAAATTAGTTTAAGACTCTTTCCGCTGTTTTAGCCAGTAACATTTGTACAAGGTTAAATCAATTTGTGTTTTTATTCATAATGTGTTTTTCCATAGGAGTGGCTAATGTTCCAAGTCAAATCATGATGCAGAAATGTTTTTAAAAGATAATGTCTTTTATCTAAAGAGGTGTTTGAAATGTGGTGGAAGTGCTGGATCCTTATTTTCAGAATCTTAGTTTTTCTGGAGAATAAAGGACTATCAATCTTCCTTTGATTTTTAAAGGTGTGCAAAGCAAAAGAGAGGAAAAAGAACGAACATGAACTCACTTGTTAGAAACCACCTTGAAAGTGATCTCCAGAAAAACTTCCAGAGATCAATTTCTAGTGAGCAGTTCAGCAGCTATGAAAAAAGAGCACCTCCAACGGTCTTCAGAGACCACTTCTTAATACTTCTTTTTCCATCACTTTGTTTACTTTCACACTAGTGGCATGAACAGAGCAACAAGATGTGGTTGCTCTCTCTCTCACACACACACAGATGATGCAAAGAACTGTCCCTCCTAACACAATTAGCTAACAAAACACTGTGATATCTTTAGCCAACAAAATTCAGAGGAGATGCTTTTTGACCATTTAGAGAAAAATTCTTTGTTTTTGAGGTTTGGCTTTTTTTAAGTGTAGCTACTTGGGGGTAGCGTGCAGTTTCATTTAAAAGCTAAGCTGTATTTGTTTATATGATATAGTTTGGGAACTATAGACTGATCTGTTGAAGGGGAAAGGATGGTAAAGGAAGTTTAAGTATTCTGTTTTCCTACATAGCAGGCACAAGGGGAATGGGCTTATTTTGCCAAACATTTTTGCAATGTCTTTATCATTCAATTGCATCTTCTCAGAGTTTAATCATAGAAACAGTTTGGAATCTAAACATTTATTTTAATGATATTTTACTCCAGAGGATTAAAAACAATAGGTGGGGGGGGGATTTTGTTTTTTTAAACTTTTGGTCAAAATCTTGTTGCCCTTAAGTAGGAATTTTGCCTGCGTAAAATCTAAGCGAGGGCTCAGGATTTAGCCATTAAATAGCAGCCTCCGGGGGGGAGGGGGGAGAGAAAGAGTTTTACCTACCTATTTTCTGTCAGCAGTGCAAACTCTATCATTTGCAAACACATGTAAAAATGAAGCGAAATGATGTACATAACAAATGAAATTATTTTATGTGTATTTTTAGCTTACTTGTAAACTGAAAAAAAATTAAAAAGCATTTACTTTTTTCCAAAAATGTATGTCTATTGAAATTCAAGGTGTTTCTACCTTTTCAGATGTAACATTTCCAGCTGCCTATTGATAATAAATATTTATGAACAGCAATGGATCTGTATATCTGTACCATGTTCAGCAGAACTTTTTCAAAGGCTCTACACACACCAAACTGCATTCAGCTCGGGCATACTGCTTTTGGGAGAACTCAAGGGCTTGTGGAGACTTGTGCATGTGCTTAGGTTTAAGAACTGAGCACCTAGTTTTACAAACCTGAGCCAATGAGCATCTGGTAGCTATGACAGCTATTTTGTAACACCATATGCAATGAGGGGTGCAAATATTGGTATGTTGGGGTGAAGTCCTAGCACCAACGAAGTCAGTGACAAAACTCCAATTGACTTCAATACAGCCAGGATTTCACCCCTGAAATCCAAACACCCTAATGGTCAGGGTTCAGAGAGATACCGAAAACAGTCAGATAGGAACCCAAGCTGCAAAATAAAAAATAAATAAATAAGCCTGGATCCCAATTTCAAGCCACCCGAAGTCTGGATCCAAGGTTATCATCTCCTTCCATTATGAAGAAAGGAGCCATTTGGAAAATATAGATTTGGATTTCTAATTCGAACACCCTTCAATGTTTGGATCAAAGGTTTTGGTTGGAGCACAATTCTGTAATATAGCATGAGAAAAGACTGCATCATATTTAGGAAGATACTGATGAGGCAGAAAAATTAAAATGAAGGCTTGGCACGGAGCAAAACAGGTAACTGATCTGGAAATGCTGCTTACTGTAGGACCTTTAGTTTAGTGCTCTTGTGCAGCGAGGGGAGGAAAAACCAGTGCGGTAGCCTGATCTTTAGTAACAGTGAAGTCTAATGTCGCAAACACACAGAATTACACGGGATTTTTTTCTGCAGTATTTATGATAATTGTCTTTAATAATGCATGAATTTTAAAATTGAAAGACTTCTGAAAAGATGTGTGCCTCTAATAGTGTGGAATGTTATGGATGTTAATGTGCAAAGATTGAAACAGGACTTGAGCTATCATCAGTGATTGCAGAACACCTGTTTAAGCTGCTGCTTAAGCAGCAGCTAAGGTTCCAGATAAAGTCACCTTTGCAGGATACAGACATGCGGCAAGGTACACAGGTATAACATCAGTGGAGTTACTCTGCATTGTTACACTTCTATAAATCCAGAGTAACTAAAATGAGAATCTGGTTCCCAGAACCCACCAAGGGGATATACCCTAGGTAGTGCTCATTGCAGTTGTGATGTCAAGCTGTGTCAGCCCACCAATAACTAATGCCCACTCAAAGCTTTAGAAAAATGGACCAACAGAGAAGGTATAAAATTATTTCAAAATTGGTGGCACCACCTAGGCAGGGAACAGGTATACACAGTGTAAATAAGGTTAAAAATGGACTAATTAAAAATTAGAAATTTAATTTAAAATCCTATATTTTTCTTGCCTTTATGGAAAAAAAAATACCTCTTAACATCAAGGCCATGTCAAATCCAAACACCAACACAATTATGGAAAGTCACCTTCCCAATGACACAAATTTGGGGCAGTAAGAGAGTGGATTCACCATTGGACTCCTCTCTAGCTACTCCCCACCAACCGTTGCTCTGGATCCCTCAGTGGCCTGCCTCTTCTCGCTACTTGGCTCTCTCACCAAGCCCCATTTTTTTCCCCACCTCTTCTGGGTGGAGAGAACGTCCTTACATCTGATCCTCGACCCCAGCTCTTTGTCCCATAATGCTTACACCCTTCTCTCAGGGCACTAAGTTGCCCTTATCCCTTTGAATTAGGGAGCTTAACTCCATCTTCCAAAGGGCTAACCGGGAAACAAGAGTCCTCGCATTAAGCTGGGTTCCAGTTCAAGGACCCTATAAACAGCAGCCAAGGTCTGCTCTGTCAGACACCTTGCCACTGCCTCCCTGGACTACTATTTACTATTGGCCTTCCCTCAAGCCTTTTCCACTACCCCTTTCTGGGCTCTTTGTAATGAACAGCATCATCCAGGGTTTCTCCTGAGAGATCCAGTTTCTGCCCTTTGTCAGGATCAGCCACAGGAACTTGCTCCAATCCTGTGTCTTTCAGGTAGCACTCCCTGGTCTTCCTCCTTACCCTGCAGGAGCTTTCTTATTCCTGCAGGTCTTTCCCTTCTCATTACCAAGAGAGACTGTAGAGTTCTTCCCTTTCTCCCTGCAACCTCTTTCTGCTTCAGGCTGCCTCTCTTTATAGCACTCCCCAGCTGGGCTTCATTTTTAAATTAGGCCTTGGTTACCCTCCAGGTGCAACCAGGTGGGTTAACTGGCCTCTCAAGCCCACATTAAGCCTTTCACACACTGTGTGGGGTAGACCCCCCACCACCGGGACCTAAGTGTAAGAGAGCACGTGGGTCACACGCACACAACAGTCCTCAATGAGTATGACAAGGAGAAGCATCAGTTTGTACAGCAGCGCCTCATTGGCCTATGATCTGAAAAGCAACAGAAGTAGTTTTGTACTGCACTGGCTTTTTGGCAGTAAAACAAGTTTCTGCTTGATGTTGTTATCCTCATTTCACTACTGACTCAAAGGAGGAATTTTGGGGAATATGTTCAGTCCAATTGTCTCCTATGTCCCATAAAAAACCCTATGTGGATTTCTTAACACAAGCCTCTTAAACTACTTTGTAGGGACATTAAGGAGGGTTTTTTGGTCAGAAAAAAAGACTCATTTCCATAGGTTAGATGCTTTTTTGTTTATTTAGTGCAAGTCAAACACCACTTCTACCACCATTTGTGCAGGGTGACTTTCACGAACCAAGGCTCTCACAAATACAACTAGATACAGTAGAACAGGCCAATGCCGAGCACTCTCCCACCTTCTAACACTTCAAGACTATACTGAACAAAATTAAACAGAGAAAGAGCAACTATTACAAATAAGTAGTTACTATTGGAGAATACACCTGGCTGATGTGTTTTGTTCAGGACTGGAAAAAGCAGCCTATTTCAACAGTATTTACTTTCCTCCAACGGACTGGGACCCAACCTTTCTCCTGCTTACATAATGAAGTAGGTTACCATTACAGGCAAACTGGTATAATATGTAAGATACACCGTTCTCTTGTGCAAGAGTTACTCCTCCATACATTGTACTTATTGATGAAGGTAAGTGATAATTTATATATACTGGCATGAAAGACAAATTGCATGGTTATATATTATGTACAGTTGAATATAAGCTTAGGGTTCTTTGCTATACAATAGTTTTACTTTCCAATATACTCTAATAAAACAATACTCAAGTTTTAAACATTTTTACCATTAACTAAAAGAGAAACATGTAAATGAAACAAAACAGCTACACAATCCACTACTGAAACAATACTAACAGAGAAAACAAGAAAACTCTAGTGCAAGAAGTGGGTTTACATCACTTGGCCTTACATACTCTGAGGTACATAATGTGATACAGGATTAGGTGAGGTAACATAGCTGACTTGATGCAACTGTCCAGGATTTACAGTATTATGAAGCCGTGAAGAATTACCATACGATGGATTTGTGGGATGCCAAGGGCTAACATAATGATAGGCAGGTACTAAAGAGATGCAAGAGTCAAACCCAGGTAGAGGTGGCTGGCCATAGGGATCTGTCGCTACTGGATAATATACTGTTCCATGGGGTGGAGGTGGAGGCTCTACATTTTGGAAAGTACCTGAAAACAGAGTTGATATATTTTAACATTTTGGCCATTTTTATGCAATCCTTCATTTTCATTACAACTGAAACAATTTTATGACACTTATGACAACACAGAACATATCTAGATAAATAATTTATGCCCAAATGATGCGTACACTGACAAGGAGACCATCTCAGCTCTTGAATAAGTTTGGAAGGCAACCTGCTCATTCACAGATGTGTCCCATGTCTGTAAGTATTCACTGCCTACTGATTGTATTTCTTTTTGTTGAGGCTCAGAGGAAGGGCAGATCCCCTTTTGAACTTCTCTGGGGGGGCTGCAGGACAGTAGGGGATTTAAAAAACAAACAAAAGAACACCTCTCTTTGTAACCTCTGACCAGATACCATGGTGATGGATATGGGGTAAAGAAACTTAATAGGTTATAATTGCAGCAGAACTGCAAGTCTGTGTAATTGTCATTGATCAATTAATAGTTTTGGCAAGATACAGTGACAAAGACATGCCAGTTTCTACCATGTTTACTCCATTAGCCCAATATCAGACACTTAATGAGGCCAGACATCTGACCTTTGACATCATCTACTCCTTTAACACAGTCCCTCCCCTCTCCTTCCCCCTTAACTCCAGATAAACCTATATGTTTCTTACAAAACTGTTGGGTTGGGCTAAGTGTTGCTGTAACTTTATACACAGTGGAAGAGAGAGCCAGTGATAATGGCTGTTTAGATAGCCAAGACACCTAGGAGAGTCCACTAACTATGGTTCCAATATTCCCTACTAGTACTCAAAATTTAGGGTTTTTTTTTAAAATACAAGCATTATTTTGGTTTGTTGTGGGTCAGCAAAAAAAAAGTGGTCATCACAAGGTGCAAACATTTTTAAACACACAACCTCCCACACAGCTTTGAAAAAAAAGTCCTTTCTAGAAAAGCAGCTAGTCTACCAAGGTCAAGCCAAAAATAATATTTTTGTTTCTTGATGGTGTTACCTAGCCCTGAATATCGGCAATTCTAAATCATAAACTTAAGTAATATATCAGAAACAGCACACACCTAACCCTAAAATAACCTATAAAGGAGCAGGGCTCACAGGCAATTTTGATTTTTTTCTAGCATCTATCCCTGGCTGCAAGTAATGAACAATAATTTTAAAAATGATAAAAGATAATATCTCGTCACCCACCCACAGAGCATACACTATCCTCATTTTACAACAAAACTCTATTTTAACAACCCCCCCACACACAAGTTGTCACCAATTCCAGAGGCCATTATATGCAATTCATCATTTATCTCATCTAATGGGAAATGTAAACAGGCCCTTGACACAACATAATTGATTGCTATGGTCCTTTTTCCTCGCTTTGTCAACTGAAATTGTAGACCAATGTGACCAACTGTTGTAGCTCACAGGAGTAGTGTAAACTGGTAAACAGTAGGATGCTTAAAGAAAAGGAGGACTTGTGGCACCTTAGAGACTAACAAATTTATCTGAGCATAAGTTTTCGTGGACTACAGCTCACTTCATCTGATGCATTCAGTGGAAAATACAGTGGGGAGATTTATATACACAGAGAACATGAAACAATGGATGTTACCATACACACTGTAACGAGAGTGATCAGGTAAGGTGAGCTATTACCAGCAGGACAGTGTGTGTGTGTGGGGGGGGGCGGGAACCTTTTGTAGTGATAATCAAGGTGTGCCATTTCCAGCAGTTGACAAGAATGTCTGAGAAACAGTGGGGGGGGGGGGGCTGGGGTGTCTGCTGACATGCACGAGCTGAAACTGTGGAAAAGCAGCATCACTTGCCCCATAACCTCAGCTGTGCAGAACACAATGCCATCCACAGCCTCAGAAACAACTCTGACATAATCAAAAAGGCTGACAAAGGAGGTGCTGTCATCATCATGAGTAGGTCGGAATATGAACAAGAGGCTGCTTGGCAGCTCTCCAACACCACTTTCTACAAGCCATTACCCTCTGATCCCACTGAGAGTTACCAAAAGAAACTACAGCATTTGCTCAAGAAACTCCCTGAAAAAGCACAAGAAGAAATCTGCAGAGACACACTCCTGGAACCTCAACCAGGGGTATTCTATCTGCTACCCAAGATCCATAAACCAGGAAATCCTCAATGTCCCATCATCTCAGGCATTGGCACCCTGACAGCAGGATTGTCTGGCTATGTAGACTCCCTCCTCAGGTCCTACGCTACCAGCACTCCCAGCTATCTTTGAGACACCACTGACTTTCTGAGGAAACTACAATCCATCGGTGATCTTCCTGAAAACACCATCCTAGCTACTATGGATGCAGAAGCCCTCTACACCAACATTCCACACAAAGATGGACTACAAGCCGTCAGGAACACTATCCCCGATAACGTCATGGCAAACCTAGTGGCTGAACTTTGTGACTTTGTCCTCACCCAAAACTATTTCACATTTGGGGAGAATGTATACATTCAAATCAGCAGCACTGCTATGGGTACCCGCATGGCCCCACAGTATGCCAACATTTTTATGGCTGATTTAGAACAACGCTTCCTCAGCTCTCGTCCCCTAATGCCCCTACTCTACTTGCGCTACATTGAGGACATTTTCATCATCTGGACCCGTGGAAAAGAAGCCCTTGAGGAATTCCACCATGATTTCAACATTTTTCCGTCCCACCATCAATCTCAGCCTGGACCAGTCTACACAAGAGATCCACTTCCTGGACACTACGGTGCTACTAAGCTATGGTCACATAAACACCACCCTATACCGGAAACCTACTGACCGCTATTCCTACCTACATGCCTCCAGCTTTCACCCTGACCACACCACACGATCCATCGTCTACAGCCAAGCTCTACGATACAACCGCATTTGCTCCAACCCCTCAGACAGAGACAAACACCTACAAGGTCTCTATCAATCATTCTTACAACTACAATACCCAGAAACAGATTGACAGAGCCAGAAGAGTTCCCAGAAGTCACCTACTACAGGACAGGCCCAACAAAGAAAATAACAGAATGCCACTAGCCATCACCTTCAGCCCCCAAATAAAACCTCTCCAACGCATCATCAAGGATCTACAACCTATCCTGAACGATGACCCATCACTCTCACAGATCTTGGGAGACAGGCCAGTCCTTGCTTACAGACAGCCCCACAACCTGAAGCAAATACTCACCAGCAACCACATACCACACAACAGAACCACTAACCCAGGAACCTATCCTTGCAACAAAGTGTGTTGCCAACTGTGTCCACATATCCATTCGGGGACTCCGTCATAGGGCCTCATCACATCAGCCACACTATCAGAGGCTCGTTCACCTGCACATCTACCAATGTGATATATGCTCTCATGTGCCAGCAATGCCCCTCTGCCATGTACATTGGCCAAACAGGACAGTCTCTACGTAAAAGAATAAATGGACACAAATCAGACGTCAAGAATTATAACATTCAAAAACCAGTCAGAGAACACTTCAATCTCTTTGGTCACTCGATTACAGACTTAAAAGTGGCAATTCAACAAAAAAACCTTCAAAAAACAGACTCCAACGAGAGACTGCTGAATTGGAATTTACAAACTGGATACAATTAACTTAGATTTGAATAGAGACTGGGAGTGAATGGGTCATTACACAAAATAAAACTATTTACCCAATTTTATTCCCCCCCCCCCCCCGCTGTTCCTCAGAAGTTCTTGTCAATTGCTGGAAATGGCCCACCTTGATCATCACTACAAAAGGTTCCCCCCCTCCCCCGCCTCTGCTCTCCTGCTAGTAATAGCTTACCTTACCTGATCACTCGTTACAGTGTGTATGGTAACACCTATTGTTTCATGTTCTCTGTGTATATAAATCTCCCCACTGTATTTTCCACTGAATGCATCCGATGAAGTGAGCTGTAGCTCACGAAAGCTTATGCTCAAATAAATTTCAGAGTAGCAGCCGTCTCTAAGGTGCCACAAGTCCTCCTTTTCTTTTTGCAGATACAGACTAACATGGCTGCTACTCTGAAACATTTCTACTTAAATGGCTCACACTCACATACACAAATGGTCATCCTAAAATACTAACCATTTGCTGTTTCCAGGGGAACTTGCCGGACATCATTCCTCCCAGTGTCAGTGTACAGCTGAGGTACTGACTGATCCACCATGGGGGCAGGCTCAGTGTATGCTGAGTAAGCTTCTACAGGTGACGGTGGTGGTACCTGTTGCATGTACACCATGGAATGCCAATAGCTCTGATGGTAATACTTTGGAGATTCGAAGTAAGGAGAGAAGTTTTATAGTTTGTGTGTGCACATGCACACACACACACACACACTTTCCTCCCCCCACCTCAGTAGCACTTAACCATTAACATTTCCAGAAACCTGTTAACAATGTTGATACAGATTATATCTTGCAGACTGCCAGAAAGTCACCAAAACATGCCCACCCCCCCCCAGCACTTTTCTCAACTGTATTATACCCTCTCGAAGAATTAAAAGTGTCCTCCCTACACATTTTATCATATAGGAAGAGAAGGCATTTTGAGGAATTTCTATTGTGGAAGAGGCTGGCATGAGTCTTAGTCTGCAGCATATCAGCATTATCTATTCCATCAGAATCAGAGGGCAGATGTAATTCTAGTACGGGAGGTACCTCCTGCTGGACACTAAAATCTCAACCACCTTTTTGGTGTACAACATACTAATAAAGAGAGAGAAGGTATTGCCAGTAATTTAGTCTCTATTAGTAATTTCTAGGATGTAGAAAGTCTTATTGCATTCTGTAAGGTCCTTATCCTGACAGGTGCCAAGAACCCTCTACCACCATAGGGTGGGTGGTAAGGGCATAGAGTCAATAGGAACCCTGAGCACTGGGGCCCCATACCTGGAGAATAATGCTCAAGTTTCATCCCTGAATTATTAATAACTCTAAAGTCAACTAGATCACATGGCTGTTTGAGCATCAGCTGGGAGTGAGGCGTTACTATGCACTTAATTGCTGTAGTAGAGATCAAAAGCTGGTGCCTGGATTCTGTTCCTGTTCAATTGCCTTGGGCAAGATACATGGGGCCCAGGAGAATTTTCCCACTGATTTCAACAGGCACTTGACCAGGCTCTTAACCTTAAAACTTCTCTATGCTTTACCTACTCTTCCCGTAGAAATGGGAAGAACAATGCTTTACCCACCCATCTTCATAAAGCCACAGATATGAAACTCACTACATGTAAATGTTCTTTATGAGTTTCACAATTTACAACTCAAACTTCCTGCATTGTAAATTTAGTCTCCTCAAGGCACCCATGCATGTACTAATAGCCAAATGCACAGGAAGCAAATTCAGAACACTTAAAAGCCCTATTCAGACACATCAATGCATCTGTCAAGACAGGTGATACTGTACAAGCAGTTTACTATACCATATCTGACAAGCACTTACCTGCAATCCCAAATTAAAATAATACTGCAATACCTTTGTATCTGGAATTAGAAAACATACTATAATTACTGAAGATTGTGGACAAAAACCACCCAGAAACAGTCATCTGTTTGTGGTCTTGTTAAAACTATGTAAATGAATAAAAATAAAATTGCTCAATTGGACAGCATTTTTTTTCTGAATGTATTTTTAGAATACAGAGTTCAGAATCTGACTCAATTACTTTCAAAAGTGATATTCTTGAAGTTCGCACATATGTGTAAACAATCTATGCAGTTTAGCACAATAAAAACTGGATTAAACATTTTGACAATACATTAACAAGTAACATTAATAAGCCAAAACTAAAATTAATGTATTGCTATAAACCGTTTGCTCAATGATGCTTTTCACAGAATGACTATAATCAATGATTATTACAAACCTTAAAACAAATGAATATATTAAAAGTATAAATTACCATGGCCTAGATTTCCAGAAGTGACTAGCTATTTTGGACACTCACTCAATAGGGCCTGATTTTCGTATTCAAACCAAAGCTTTCTGAAAATTAAAGCCTGTTGAAGTTTGTCAAATTGGGCAACCAAAATTTAAGGTACCCAACACAGTCATTTTTGAAAATGTGGACCTAAAACGTACGTTGGAAGCAACTTCCCAAAGATTTGTAATTTAAAATTAACAATTTTTTTACATATTAACTAATTTGTTTCTTTGGGCAAGGGAGATAATTGTAAGAAGAGCAGGTATACACGTACAATAGAATCCCATTTATCTGACCCTCCATTATCTGGCTATCAGGGTATGTCTACACTTACTGTGGATTGATGCTGAGGCAATTGATCCACCGGAGTGGGTGGGGGAAAGGTGTCAATTCAGCAGGTCTAGTGATGACCTGCTAAATTGACCGCAAATCACTCTGTTGACTCTGGTACTCCACCGGAACGAGAAGTGTAAAGTAAGTTGACGGGAGAGTTTCTCCCATTGACCGAGTGCGGCGTAGACACCACAATAAGAGTTGACCTAAGCTACGTCGGCTCCAGCTACGTTATTCACACAGCTGAAGTTGCATACTAGGTTGACTTAACCCCATAGTGTAGACCAGCCATCAGTGTTAACAGGACCACCACCACACACAGTTGCAGAACGGGGCAATGTTTGGTGTGGTCCCTAGATGGTGATACAACACTGCACTTTCCCATTATCCGGTTTATCCGGATTTTTGATTATCCAATCTGGCCCTGGTCCAAATTATATCGGATAAATGGGGTTCTGCTGTAGTCTGCTTTACTTCTGTTAAAACAGTACTTTAGACACAAGAGTCCTATAAAATGACAGCGGAGGTGAGTGTGTTGACCTGGCCAGAAGAAGAGCTCTATGTAAACTTGAAATCTTCTCTCTCACCAACAGAAGTTGGTCCAATAAAAATACATTACCTCACCCACATTATCTCTCTAGAAGCAGAGGTGAAAGTTCCTTATTATGGACTTCCAACATCATGCACACAGAATATGAATGCATACCCATGCACATAGATAGTGGAATACTGTGTTTTTCTTACTTTTATTAGTTTATAAGATTTTATGATAGCTGTGTAAACTTCCACAATATCCAGAAAGATGGCATTTTAATCTGTTAAAAACACGGATAAATCATAATGACCAAAGCTGAAGTCCAGAATTTAGCATACATCTGACTACAGTAAAAAGGTATGGAAAGATGTATCCATTATCTGACATTATTGGGAAATACTAGATTACAGATTAGTTAGGTTTGTTGCCAACTATTCATGGATAATTTACCACCACCACAGATAGAATGTTACTTCGTTTTAAATCTATGGGAAAATTGCTTCACAGAATGTGGCTCGATGAAACTAAATTTTGCATTTTATGTACGCAAACAATGAAAAGGTCACTAAAATACTATGTCCCCAAACTGATTTGACTGATAAGCATCTTCTCTGCAAATAAGAGCACTACAGACCTTTCTCCAAGGGCCTGTGGTCCCTCCATTTTCACTATGAAAAGAAGAATGCATAATGCTAGTCTGAAAGCATGCGGGGGAGGGAGTACTTTGCCAGTTGCCCTATCATAAGCCAGCAGCAATTCATCTGCAGCCACTCTACACATACAGAAATGCATATGGTTATGGCATGTATGACTAGGCCCTAACACCCAAAACTTAATGCTATCTCTACCCATTATTAATTCCTGCTCTGCAGTTGTTACTCTGAGGCACCAAGATTTGCAGGGCCACCAAGATATATGTGCTGCTAAGGGAAGTGGGGACCTGCAAGGAGCATGGTGGGCAGGCATTCCACACAGTACCAAGATTTGTGGAGTTGGAATTAGGATTCCCCCAAGTCTTCTAGCTCTATGCAATTAAAAAAAGCATGCCACCTATCTCTCTACACAGATGCTGACACCCCTACCTTGGAAGGATAGAATGCACCCAGTTTTCTGCACCCTTCCAACTTGCCTTTTCCAATTTGCTTCCATCCAAGGGAAGAGATAATGTAGTCCTGGGCAATTATATGGTACACTAAGGAGTAATCCCAAAAGCGAGGATGGCCTTTAAAAAACTGTTCACTAAGAATAATCAAATTTTGAACTCAGAAACATACTTCTACCCAAAATGTGAAATGTCTGGGATATTCACATTTGCAATTCTGGCAGGAATACACAGTTTTTCATTCTACAGTGCAGTTTTGGAAATGGGCAGAAGCAACAATAAAACATCAGAGTCTTTGGCTGGTCTCATAGTGACTACTTCAGAGAGTTAGGGAAAGAAATGGGTAACTTTAGTTCCAGATTAGGGGCCTGCATTAAAGTTAACTGAAAATTCCTCCTACTTTCTCAGCTCCCTACAGCAATACAGCAAAGAAAAAAAGCTGTAGCATTTATCTGAAATAGACAGATGCTTTGTGTGAACGAGAGAGTATTACCAGCTCAGATCTACAGTGTTCTTCTCTGCATGCCAACTTGGATAGCACTTGGTTTATTGTGATTTGCAGCAATCAGGAGGCTATTTCTTTGTGCTTCACACAATCCAGGAAAACAGGCAAAGACGAAAGGGAGGCAAAGCTCCACATGACTCACTAAAACAGGTAATCTCAAGATATTCACACATTACTGATTATTTTAAGAAAATGTCAACCACTGCTTCTGTTCCCAATCTCTGAAAGTGAATTGAAAAAGTTCTACACCTCCTACATTTTCAGAAATATCAGTGGAAATCTGTTTGGGCAGGACCATGGGACTAAAAAACCTCACTTAATTCTGTACTTCAGGATTTCATTTTATTGATATTATTGATTCATTTTATTGATATTTACAGGTTTTTGAGGCTATTTCATTTTTTAAAAAGAAAATTAAAACCTAACCATGGAATGGAAAGATGGTTAGTTCCTCCATCCACACTATGGCCAACTCTCATTATTTGCCATTTCAAAACAGACCATAATCTATCCAGTTATCTTAGTAAATCTGCATAAATTCTTCCCCACCCGTGCAGGCAAGGAGTTTATGCCCTGAGGGCCATCCTAGTGACACTGCTTTGGCTGTGACAAGGTTAACCATAATGCTGCTGAAGCATTAAAGTATGCTGGAAGAGCAACATAAATGCTCTCTATATAGTATCTAGCAGCAGACTCATTTACATTTGGGGTAAATTAAACAATCTAATTTTACTTTTCAATTATTATGCAAATCTATGCAAAGCAAGCACCAGTTCTAAGAGCTGAATGGAGCAACCGTTACATAGTGAAGGTAACAGAACACAAGTTACTAGAGAATGAAATGACAGGCAAATACTGAAGATAGAGAAGTCTGTGGAACACTGGAACAGCAGCAAATGCAGGTAGGAGCCAGTTTTTGTTTACAATGCTTTTTTAAGTTTATAGAAACCAGAATAATCTTCAGTAAAATATAGCCACAATGTGACACCTGCCAAACAGAGCAGCAGTGAGGTTAGTGAGATTCATATATAAATACAAGATAGTAACAGTCACCAAGAATTTAGTGTCACCTTACAAGACCTCAAGAAATAGTTTTCTGGATAAGAATTTTATTAGTGCAGTCTGAGAGGCTCTGATCTGTCTGGAATGCTAATGCAGGGAGGGAGAAACGGTCTCAAACACAGGACTCACAAAATAATCAGATATTGACAACTTCAATAAATATAACTGAGCATGCAGGAAGAGGGTGCACATGCAAGCTTCCTAAATTAACTGGGGGGGGAGGGGAGGGGAGGTGAAGGAGGGAGGGAGAGGAATTCAGAAGAGATTCTGAAAGTTCAAAGAGATGTGGATGTGTGAAACAGCAAAACACATGGGCCTGGCTTGGACCTCTGACTCTTGCAGTGACTACCAAACCACACCAAGATGAACACTCCTCACATGCATGTCTGTTCAGTCAAGCTTTAAGCAAAAATAAATAGAGCAAAAACCAAAATTTTTTTTTCTGTTTTGTCCTTTAATAGTGCTAGATGGAATCCTGCTGATGAGACTGAATGAGCTGTACAAATTCCACACTTTATTTTACACGTCAGCAACTGCGGGGTTGGCAGAGTAAAGGTGTGTGTGTTAGCAGGACGTAGTGGGGTACTGCTAAAAGAGGGAAGAGTTCAGGTTACAAGAGCCACCTTAACTGCACATTTCCTGGTTTTCAGACATTTGAGGTTTGCTCAATTTAATGTTCTGCAAAGGGATGACACACCAACGTTAACTCTTTATGAACATCGTTTTTTGTCACTGAATTTCCTGTTTTGTTTTTTAAAACAGGAAAAAAAAAGATACATTATAGGCAGTAGTTAGTAGTCATTTAGGCAGAGTGTGTATCATGCCCCACAATTTGCATACCAAGCCAAAGCAGCCTGTAGTCAGCAAGCCCCACCTCAAGAGATTCACAAGCTGGCACTCTTGGCAGCGCATGCATTTCTTTTCCCTCAGCAGTCAAAGTGCTACTGCAGTCAGTTCCAAACTTCTGCACGACATGTCTTTGTAACCACCACATTGATCTGCCCCAGAAATAAAATTAGCCACCTCTCCATATGCCCTTGAGGCTAGTAAAATACAGACGTTCTCAAATAACCGAAGAGCTGCCTAGCACCTAGGCACATTGCCCGCTGCAGCCCCTTTCCCTCGTCCTATTCCCCACCGCTGCCACACAAAGTCCTGTCTCTAGCTCTTTTGTTCCCAGTAACAAGAACTTTGGTTAGACCAGCAGCTAACTATTTTGCTGAATTCATAGTAAACCTCATAAAGTAAACACAAAATTATAATATAACAGACAACCTGAAGCAAGCAATGAAGATTTAGTAACTCATGTTGCACAAGTGTAGAAAGGTTCTGACTAGAAACATCAGTGACAGGGTGCTCAGCAAGGGCAGTGGCATCTTCATATTCCCTCAAACTACCCAGGCAAGCATGACGTGGCTGCATAGAAACCCTCTTACAGTTTATTTCCTCATTGGTGCATACGCACCATAATCCTTCCAAGCTGCACATTTATGTAGGTGAAGTGAACGTGTTCTTAAATGCTGTTCATAGTTTGGGCCTCCCAAAGACTCAGTGGCTGCCATGCACTATCCTGGGTAAAAACTGATGAATTGAGACCATTTTGACCCACATCACATCAACAGTTTGATCTCAAACTCCACACACAAAAAATCTCCCAAAAACACAACCCACCAAGAAACTTTCAAAACTGGCTATTTCACAGTTCACAGGAAGAATTCACATGTCAAATTTCCACCCTGCTCCCCAAAATCCTTTGATGTTCCCCTTAAACTCAAGTTGCCACCCACAACTCACAAACTGTAGCAACCTCCAGTCACTCAGTTCAGAACTCCCTTTGTCTTTGGTGGGGGCTTGTGATTAACTTTTCCTTAGTTAATTGAAGGGTGAGTTCAGCAGCCATCAGGAAGTCTGATTCAGTCAGTCAGTCGTATCACTCAGTTTAACAGTGCAAGGCAGCAGAAGAAATCCGTTTGAGGGAGAGAGGCTGCTCTTTTGGAAATGCCCAGGTTCAATGACCCCAAATTTGGATCACTAATGCTACCCCCATGCAGGCACACCAAATTTCAAAGCAATCCAATTAGCCATTCAAATTTTAGGATACTTACAAGAGTTGAGCTTTAAAGCATATAAAATGGTGGTGAGAATGGAAACCCTCCAGCCATTTTTCTCTATTGGTTCGTGCATAATGTAAAGAAAAAAAAAGAAAGATGTTTGCTTAAATACTGCTTTCAATTTGGGTCATCCAAAGATTTAGCAGGTGCCATACACTGTATTGGGTAAAATTTGAAAGGTTGAGACCATTTTGACTAATGTGACATCAATAGTTTGATCTCCAGCCCTGTGCAAAAATAAATAATAAAAAACACCCCACGTAGAAACTTTAAAAGGACTGTTTTGGGAAGATGTCTCTCTGGAACCCCTGCTTCAAATTTGGGTCCCCAACGCTGCCCTGCACCCTTCAGAGGGATACCAAATTCAAGTGAATCCAACTAAGCATGTCCACTTTGGAGAACTTAGAAAGCTTGACCTATAAACAGAAGTTGTGACACAACTTATAAAGGCACTGCCGGGCCAATATAATGTGTGTGTCACCCCCTGTTCACAGACCCATGGATACCTTAATGAAAGCTCCATAGCCATTATAAACTAAGGTAACATGCCCACATACCACAATACTTTAAACACTACATAGGACTCATTTCTAGTTCTCTCCCCTAAAATCCATACTAGACACTAGATTTAAAAAAAGTCTGGACCTTTCCCTAAAAGAAGCTCAAAGAATTCTGTGGAGTGGTTTAATTGGGAGAGAAATACAGAACTGCTGGCCCTCTATGGAAAAGGTCTTCAGCTCACACCTGCTCCAGATTCTCTTCCGTACACTTAACTCTTGATTCTGCAAGGTGCTGAAAACCCTTAACCCTCAATTCCTTTTCTCTTCAACGGGAGTTAAAGGACACAACAAACATGGGCTTGATTCTGCAACATACCACCCTAGTCAAAGGTGCTGAAAAAGGACAAAGCAAACAAGAAGTTGAAATTCAAGACTGTAAGAAGGGAAAACAGGACCTCAGAGGGCACTTGTCCAAGAGGCAGCCACTCCAGATTGCAGAACATGGATGCTGCAAAACATGGCAGCATGACTGCTCAACATTTGGCAAACTCCTACAAAGGACAGCTCAGAAAAAAAAGTATATTATATGGTCAAGTGGCCTGAAGTTCCCAGTGCACTAGCATGGGGCCTGAATGCAAGAACCAGGAGAACATTATCTTAACAGCTCTCTCAAGATGAAAGAGCCACTCTTGACAACTGCCTAAAGCGGACTCCTCCCCCTAGGTCTATTTCACTGTCAAAAGTTTGGGACAACCTAAAAAATTAAGTTGCTTCCCTACATAGCAATATGTTGAGATAAATAATATGAAAGCCATGTTTACCGCCAGTTCACCTTCAGCTCGCAGGTCTTCATAGAGGGCAGTCTCTCTAGTAGAGAATAAAAAGTGACAGAATTTCTGATGCAGAGTACTCAAATGTCTTTGAAATTCAGGGACAGCTGGAAGAGGCTGCAGACACAAGAAGTTGCGTGACCTGAACACATTAAATTGTTCAATACAGTGCAAAGAAAGATCTGGGAGCAGCACCATGGCTTTCCCTACCAGAAAGGGAAGTAGTAAGTTTCAGATATTAAAGGACATCAGTATAATCAGGGACAGGCGCATGAACATGCTGTATACTGGGAAGTGAGAACACTTTACTTCAGTTGATAAAGCCATAGGATGAAATCTGGGCTCCACTAAAGACAATGGCAAAATTCTCATTGATGAGGCCAGGACTTCCCCTATATTGTACTTTACTGTCACAAATACTATGGCAAGAACAATTAATTTATTCTTCACTAGCTTCTTATGTGAAACAACAAAAAAAATCATAACAACAAAGTGACTCTCACAGCTGAAACAATTCTGGGCTTCCCATTATTTCTCCACAAGTTAATTACTTTGCGGAATATTCCATAACACACTCTTGAGACCTCTGCACAAGCTTCTTCCCAAATTGTGAAATTAAGCATATCCCAACCCCATAACCAACCTTAATATTCCCTTCTCCTCTGCATCATCTGTACAGAGCGATGTTTCCGCACTACAAGTATACTGTATTCAGCTTGTTGTAGGACAGTGGTCACCAACCAGTCGATCGCGATCAACTGGTCAATCCTGGAGACTCTCCCCGTTGATTACGATCTCTGGCTGCTAAATGTCCCTGGTGGCATAGAAGGGCTGCCACTAAGGCAGGCTCCCTGCCTGACCCGGCCCCATGCTGCTCCTGGAAGCGGCCAGCATGCCCCTGCGGCCCTGGGCGTGGGGGGAGGGAAGAAGGAGAGAGGACGGGGTGTCCGTGCACTGCTCTTGCCTGCAAACACCGCCCCCGCAGCTGGGAACGTGGATGGGGAACTGTGGCCAATGGGAGCTGCGGGGGGGGGCGGGGGGTGTGCCTACATAGAAGGACAGTGCCCAGAGCCACATCTCCCCACCCCCCCAGGGTTCACTAGGGCACGTTGGCCCCTTCTGGGAGAGGCATGGGGCCAGGGCAGGCAGGGAGCATGCCTTACTTAGCCCCACTGCGCCGCCCAAGGCAAGTAGTGCCTGGTGGGAGCCCAAACCCCACCCCCAGCCCCCTCCTGAAGCCAGAACCCATACCCCCTCCTCCACCCTGAGCCCCCTTTCCAAGCCAGCACCCCTTAACCCCTCCTGCACCCCAATACTCTACCCCAGAGCCCCCTCTGCACCCAAACACCCTCCCAAAGCTTACACCCCTCACCCTTTCCTGCACCGCAACCCCTGCCCCAGGCCCAGCCCAGCGCCCCCTCCCACACTCCAAACTCCTCTGCCCCAGCTCAGAGCCTGCACCCCCTCCCAAACCCCAATCTCCTGCCTCAGCCCAGTGAAAGTGAGTTAGGATAGGGGAGGGCGAGTGACGGGGGAGGGGGGGGAATGGAGTGAGCAGGTTGGGGCTCGGGGAAGGGACGGGGTAGATCCTGGGTTGCACTTAAATTCAAAAACTGATCTTGTGCATAAACAGGTTGGAGACCACTGCTGTAGGATATACAATCAGGAGAGTGCCAGCTGATGCAAGGGAAAGAGCAGAGTGTTAGAGAATACATCCCTCTTACCTCGAGGTAGATCACTGCCGCTGGGATCGCAGGAGTAAGGCGGAGGAATGCTGCCACTATCTCCCACCTCGCTGACAGGGGGAGGGGGAGCTGGATGATATGGGTACGGCATTGACGGAATCACTACTATGTTAAAAAAAATTTCAAAAAGTCTCAAGTCAGATTTTCAATGGTTTTAAAACAAGCGAACTACTAGCCAGTGCAGTTAGTATGAACTGCCATCATGCTCTCTAAATGTATAGTGATCAGCTTCTGTTTTAAGGATTTAGCATTCCTTCTGGACAAATTAAAAAAAATCCCACTTTTTATCTTATGGTTTGCGTAGTTAAATTCACTTTGGTTTGAAATGTATTACCTGCTCTCATTAGTCAAGACGAGAGACATGACTAACTCAAACAACTTAATAAAAGAAATCTCTACAGTTTATTTTGTGCATTTCAAGGCTTCCTAATGGAAGTTTGGTGCCTAAACACCTTTAGAGGATGTGAGCCTTCGTGTAGAGTCAGCTTCACTTCTTCCCCTGCATAGGCAGTCAGTTTCCCCACAGCCACAAGGGATGGAATAAGCAGCAGTTTTTTAAAAAGTTAGGGAACTGTGATTATGAAACCCAAAAAAAATGACTGCAAGGTTCAGGGTAAGGGTAGTAGTTGAAGCTACTGTATAAACTTTTTTAAGCTGACTAGATTTCAAGTGGCCTGTGCCCCTTTAAATAAAAAGTTTATTTGTTTGCATAAGTTTGTGTGTAACACCACCACCAAGTGGCTAACCCACATAGTGCAACGTTAATCATAACTGCAAGCATGCAGTGATCACATAAAGTAACTTAACCATAATGTAAACAAACCCCCCCCCCACACACACACACAACACACACACACAAAACTGTGAATTGAGATGGCTGTTATGGGAGAGGAGAAAAGGAACGAGACTAGAGCAAAAGAAAGAATCCATAGAAGGTGAATGAAAATAGAGAGTACAGAAATTGAGAGCATGGAAAAACTCTCATAAGATGACATTGGAAAGATTCTGATTTTCATCTGCTTTCTAAGATAAAAACGGAATGAATACAATTAACGTACTCTATATAAAATAATGGTCTAGAGAAGGTAGCTAAGGAACTTCTGTTGTCCTTGTCTTATAACTTAAGGGGGGGGGAGGGACAAAAGGTAAAGGTGACTAATTTAAAACTGATAAAAAGGAAGTATTTTGTCACACTATGTATAGGTAGGCTGTGGAACTCATTGCCACAGAAAGTCACTGAGGCAAAGAAGTAGTAAGGTTCAAAGAGGGATTAGACATTTATATGGATATCAAAATATCCAGAATTATGACAATAAAAGCTTTGGATGGGATATTGTTATGTTGGAAGTTGCTGATTGCTGCCATCAAACAGGTGTTTGGTCTACAAGGCAATCAGAGACCATGTTAATGCTGATGGGTATGCCAGCCAGCCTTCATTCAGGCTAAATGGAAAAAGCAATTAAGCTCTTTTATGGAGATAGGTATCTGGAGACAATGAAGCCACCACACGAGATACGAGGTCAATGAGCAGCTAACCCATGTGGGCTGAGGGATTTCCCCAGGGATTGATTTCAAGTACAGTGACTGAGGTATTAAACTGGTTGCAGCTGTGCGTACTAGAGGCAGAAAAATGAGGAAGTGAGCAGGAATCCAGACATGCAGTTGTGGGGAGCAGAGACAGAGCTGCTTGGCTGGAAAGGCAGATTTGGAAATTGTGAGCTAAGTGTCAGCTTTGTTCCTACTGTGTTCAGGAAAACAGGACATTGCGAACATTCTTTGTAAATATAGAGATTGCACCAAAGAAATACCTGATCCACGTCACCAATTTCAACTCCTTAGAGCAGTAACCCAGCAAGGCCTTGCATATTGGCTAGACACTTGTGCTAAGAGGCAACAATATTAAACTTCGTGTTTCAGGGCTTAAGCCAATCTCTAGTAGAGACAAGGATGGGACCAGATGCTGCGGGCAGATTAACCCACTGCACCTACACCTTCCCGTGAAGCATCTGGAACCAGCTACTGTCCAAGACAGGATACCAGACTAGATGGGTACAGTTCCTATGCAAGTTAGGGAGCCATCTATGTTTGTTTCTGCTGAAGAGGGACTCCAAGAAGATGTAAACCTGGCTTGTCAGTGTATGAGGAAAGTCAGCAGTGGGGGTAATAAAGATTCATAGAGAAGTGAACCACATTCTATGGAAATATCTTTAAGAACTCAGGTTTCAGAGGAACAGCCGTGTTAGTCTGTATTCGCAAAAAGAAAAGGAGTACTTGTGGCACCTTAGAGACTAACCAATTTATTTGAGCATGAGCTTTCGTGAGCTACAGCTCACTTCATCAGATGCATACCGTGGAAACTGCAGCAGACTTTATATATACACAGAGAATATGAAACTTGGAGAGTGGTCAGTTTAGATGAGCTATTACCAGCAGGAGAGTGAGTTTGTGTGTGTATGGGGGTGGGGGGGATGTGAGAAAACCTGGATTTATGCAGGAAATAGCCCAACTTGATTATGTAAAGAGTTGTCACTTTGGATGGGCTAGCACCAGCAGGAGAGTGAATTTGTGTGGGGGGGGGGGGGAGGAGGGTGAGAAAACCTGGATTTGTGCTGGAAATGGCCCACCTGTTGATCACTTTAGATAAGCTATTACCAGCAAGACAGTGGGGTGGGAGGAGGTATTGTTTCATATTCTCTCTGTATATATAAAGTCTGCTGCAGTTTCCACGGTATGCATCTGATGAAGTGAGCTGTAGCTCACGAAAGCTCATGCTCAAATAAATTGGTTAGTCTCTAAGGTGCCACAAGTACTCCTTTTCTTTTTAAGAACTCAGTGTGTATTCTGGGTGGTGAGAAGTGAGAACAAACAGGAGTAGAACCTGAAGTTTACAGTTTTGTATCCAACACTCTACCTGGCCTTCCAGCAGAAGAAGGGGACACCAGGATGGGTTGCACTGCAGTCTGTGGGGGAATGGAGGTGGTAACGTTGGCTTGAGTGGCTGCTGCTGTGCTGGAGGAAAAGACTGTTGTTGGAGCATTATTAACACAAGAGGAGGTTGAGATCACTGCAGAATTCACCATCACCTGCAAAAGAGCCAGGAGAGATTTTAGTACACTGTCAACTTTGATTTTAAAAAACCCACACATGTTTTTGAAATACTACCTGGTCTGGTAGTTTTCATATATATTTAGGCTGAGATACTCAGAGGAGCATAAAGGAGTTAGGGATCCAATTCCAGCCTAAAAATACTACAGAAAATATGGAATAGTGAACATCTGCTTTCAAGAACCCCTCCTCCCCCAAATATTTATATTGTCCTAGGATTCTACATCATAAAATGCTAAGCAAAAAACTCCATCTCTATGAGAGGGCTTACAATATTAAATGAACAAGTGCATTACATCCATTACACAGGTATGCTATACTGAGAATTTTTATATATATATATATACACACACACACACACAGAGAATTTACTCAATTGCTACATGATCACCAATATCACTTCACTTCGTGTTTAAATCAAGTTCAAAGCTACAGTACTGTGTGATTTTTTTTTTTTAAAAAGTATTCCAACAACAGTGAGTGTATGTGTTGGGGTGCGGAATGATATATGTAAGTTTAATTCAGTTAAGGCCAAATCCTGCTTCCTCGCTGACTCAAGTAGGACTATCAAAGTCAACGGGACTACTCACATCATAAAACAAGTAGGATTTAGCCCCAACCCTGTAGGCACAGGTAGGCAGACCACCTCTTTATAGCAGAAGAGTTCATTTTTGGTTTTCTTCATTAATTTTTCAACTTTCCATTGTCACATGTGACTTAATGGTCCATGATTGAGATTACCTTCTGGGAATAGTTGTATGAAGCAACTCCATCTTGAGGTGAGACAGAACCTGTCCCTCCATCCTGAAGAGATTTCAAAGCAAAACAGTGTGTTTAAAACGTAGAGAAACCACAAGGCTATAAGACTGTGGGGAAAAGGAGGGAGGGGGATGGGGGATGCCAGAAACCCAAAAGTCTTCTAGTTATTCTTTAATTTTCTAAAATATATACTCAAAGATCCTGCACTTTGCTTAAAAACCCCCTAAATTAAACTAGAGTTAGGCCAGTTCACAATTGCACTCTGCACTGCCAGGTGCAGAGTAGCCTTCTATACCTGCACTTGATTACCTGATCTCTGGACCAGCAAGCTGCAGGGGTGTGGGATAGAGAAGAGAAAACACCTTGTTTCACTAAACAGTAGCCTCTCCAAGCCCATTAACAAACTGGCTGATTTTAAAGGCAAGGTCTGGTCCAGTCCTGTCTCTGAAGGCTAGCATACACTGGTGTGGGACTTGTAGAGTAGCATATAAAACAGAAGTAGGAGGAGGAAGAATCATGGCTTTACAAAGAACATAGATGATTTTCCACCTCCCTTCTCCCCACAAAAGTGTGAGGACAGACATGGAGCAGAACTCTTACAAATAAAATTCAGACTGTAAAAGCCACCACCAGGATGTGTATATACTTGATAAGCACTGTGCACGGATTTAAAGACCAACCCTATAATGATACTGTAATGAGGTCACGTTTCAGTAGGATCCCTTGAGAGACAAGCATTCACTATCTAGCTGGAAAGGGGGTGGGGTGTGGGAGGGGAAGTGGGAGAAATGCGAAATATAAATGGAACTATTATTCCTTCCTCCTAAAAACCACCCTTGAGCATCTACACTAAGCTTGCTTCCAGGGCCAATTTCTTTGAAGGATGTTATGTGTTTCTAGGAAGCCTAATCCAAACAGTGACTAAAGCTTACCAAGTTTGCTGTAGTCTCTGCTGAACTAAATACTGTTGGAGTTTCACAGTCTGGATCTGGAGGGCATGGGCAAAATTAATTGAAACAGGAGCATTAAATCTAATCCTTCAAAAACTTGTGCGAGATCAAACTATTGTTTTACATTCACTGTGAGTAATATGGGAGAGTCCAATTCTTACTGACCTGAAGGGGTGTACATATATTCTTCATGAAATTCCCCTAGGAAAGAGGAAACGGATAGCTTCATTTCAGAAAGTTAAACACAGAAAAGATCAGAATTACATTTCAGTCACCAACAAAGGTGAATTGAGCCGTCTTAAGAAAAAGGATTACTAGAATGGGATACACCAACATTGCACCATTTCCGCTTTTCCTACAAACATCTATCATTACGTGGTCAGTTCTTTCACAGCTCAAGTGACATTAACAAAGTAGTCCAAAGGCAAAACACATCATTTATAGTCCCCGAAAACCCGAATTTGAGTCTAGATGTGCAGAACGAAGTGTAGCTAGATGTATCTAAGAATTTGGCCCTAGTTTACATTTATTTGAAAAGTTGTGCTAAATTTATAACTTGACTTAATACACCTCTGTGTAACAGGAATTAAGGTTAAGATAGTTAAGTAAAGAACACGTGGAGAAAAAAGCCACAAGTGTTTCAAGTCTGTACAGGACTGTTCCCACCCCCCAAAAGGAGTTACATTTCTATAATAATTTTAAATGCAAAATCCTTTACACAATCTGTAACACTACATTTCTACCCTTCTCTAGTCACTATTTATAAAGTGTTTTATGTATAAATAGATCTACAATGAAATTATCTGAAAAATGCACCTTTTACTCCTTATACACTGTAATTAATAGGCAATGCATTTGAAAGAGGATTAAGGCATAGGGAAATGAGAAAAGAACTATACTGGTACACTCTCCAATACTGCTCATTTTTAATCAAGAGATATTAAACTGAGTGCCCTTCCTGGCTTCCGTGAGAGATGAAAAAAAGAGCCATTGGCACTTTTAGAAAGATTACTAAGGTGTCTTAGACAATGCTCCTTTTTGTCAAAAAGGCAGTTGCTAATACCCAAGGCTACTACTAAAAGGATGCACTTTGATTTAGTTTGTAGAACATTAGTAACTAAGTTTATTACTTTGTGAGGAAAGTCAGAAGAAGACAATACTAGTTTATTCCATTCCACCAAAGGCCATAGTAACTGTCACCAAACAGAATCTATGTTGTATGTTTCAAGCAATGAGTTGTCTTGCTACAAACCCGCAGAGTCATATCAGCACTAGTCTGGCAAACTATTAAATGAAATGGATTAACACGTTTGCCACGCAATAAAAGCTGAGGTGTTGCACATGTGCATGCTTTTAACTACTTGAAACAGATGTCTGCCCTAAAGCTGGGCTTCCCAAGAGAAAAATGGAAGGCATCTCTGTACCTAGTGAAGAACACTGTAAGGCAATATGGCTCAGCAGCAGAGCGAACGGGATCTGCTTTTGTAGCCTGCACACACATTGCACGGGAATACACAAAAATGGAGATTCTGGATTAATCCGAACACAAGTGTGTGTTTGATTTAGAACTTACCATTATCACTCGGTTCATCGACTTCCTCCTCTGAGGAATTCAGAGTCTGTTTGCTGGGTGGAATGGGGCTTGGGCCTCTTCTAGCTACCCAGAATCCTGCAGGGGCAGGGACTATTGGGGCAGGACTACCCTGACTCTAGGAAACAAGATAAAATGTGTTTTATTAGAACAAAGTGAACTCGCCAGGGGTTCTCACCACCCTGAAACCAGGATTTGGCAAAACAATTTTGCTGTAAAACACTACTTATTACACATACAATGATCTCACTGGTACCTTGTGCTCCCTCCATGTTGTATCCACCAGGTGTCTTCCCTAATATACGTAGACCAATTTTTCCCTCTGTGTGTATACGCCTAGTATCATGGTCCTGATCCCTAATTGGGGTCTCCAGGCTGGACCATAATATAAATTGTTTCACTCATCTCAGAGCTACGTTAGATGAACATAAGCTGGAATAGCAGAGTTTAAATTCACATGAACCTCAACTCAGTGTTATACACTAGTTTCAACTGAGTTTTTGTGTCACTTGCCATTGACGAGATCCGAGATATTCCACCCTGAAATCTTCCTGGTGGTTATAGACCCTGCTCCCCCTTTTCCCGACTGAACTGTAGCAGGACCCAAAGCCAATGCTGCCTTCATTGACTTCGTGACTTGGAGCTCACAAATGTAATGACACATCCTGTTCCATACCGCCTGGTTAGTGATGAGAGGAATGATGGTCAGTGGTTAGGGCACTAGACTGGGACTCAGAACAAGAGGCCTGGAACCAGGCCACACTGCTCACAGAAAAAGTTTTGCTGAATTCCAGATTTACAAACTAAACTAACCCTGCCTGGGCAGAAGCAGTTCTTCATTACACTGAATCTGCAAACAGTGCTACTGCATAGTAAACAAGAGAGTCAGAAGCCTTCTGATGGCAATTAGGCTTTAGCTTCTTGTGGCAGATATGGAGCTGCAATGTAATAATTTTATAGAATACTGTATGTGACATGGTCAGTGAGGTAAAGTTACCACATATAGGGTAATTAGACTTTCACGTATGAATGTACTGTCAAAACTCAATAGGGGGCGGTTGGGAAAAAAAAAAAAAGCAGAAAAGCAACACCACGGCTCTAGATAAAACAACCTTCCAAACACACACACTTGGGGAGCAATTCCAAGACAACAGCATACTTCCAGGTTCCAGCCCAAGTGTACCACTATTTTGCCAAGGTTTGGAGCCTAGAGATCCAAGGGACACTAAGTGACTAAAAGGACTCTGGAGGGGGAGTTGTGAGTGTGGCGTTTCTGGTGAGAAACGGATCTGGTGGGAATGTCTGAAGTTAGGGCCTTCCTCTCTGTCCAGAGAAGAGTATGTCCCTCTGATCTCTAAGCTCCCTGCCTTAGCAGACAGCTGTGTAACTTTGGGCTGGGGACTGAGGCCTGGTATACACTAGAAAATTAAGTTGGCTTAACTGCTTCATGCTGGGGTGTGAAAAATCCACACCCTCTAAACAGCATAGTTAAGATGATTTACCCCCACCGTAAACAGTACTATGTCAATGGAAGAATTCTTCCATTGACTAAGCTACCACCTCTCGGGGAGACAGACTACCTACACTGACAGTTGGTGTAGGTAGTGTCTACATTGAAGTGCTGCAGCACTGCCATTAAGTACCACAAGTGAAGAAAGAAAAAGAGATACAAAATAGCTGCCTGAACATGAGAAATAATCCAATAGCAGCTACAGGCAAACATACAGGGGGATGGGGGGGGAAATGGGGTGCACACATTCCTGCTGAACGCTACTGATTCTGAGTCTGAAAAGGAAGTTGCAAAATAGCGCGTCTAAGTTGCTAACCAATGTTTTCTTCCAAGAATGCTAAGCAAAGGTCATAGGTTAAGCCCAGAACAGAAGAAGGGACTACAGTATGGCTGCTGAAACATAATCAATGTTTAAATGCCAGAAGAGAAGGAAAAAAGGAAGATACCAATTTATACAACAAATCTATTTTTCTGAAATTCATTATATCAAAATGGCAGTGGCAAAAAAATTCTGGAAGACAGGACGGCTGAATTCACAATGGTCAGCGTTTAAGCAATTTTATGCCTGAACTCCAGTCCAGACAGCTAAATATTGACTGACCATTTTTAGCACACTCAGGGTGGTTTAGTCTAAACCTACAACAGAATTTGGAAAAGCAAGTAGACTGATATGAGAATGATTTTTAAAGAGCGGACACCAAAGGGGCTAGGGTTCACAACTTAGACCGGAGGCTCAATTCTGCCATTTTACTTGCAGAATTGAAAACTTCATTTTGGATTGGTCTTAGTTTGGGGAATAACTATGCTTACAAAGGGATTCACATACTGTAATATGTTTCATTTTATAGAAACTTGCTGCGCAAAGAGGAGTTCAGGAAAAAGTCAGTCTGGAGATTGTTGCTATTTTCTTTTGCAGAAGAAAGTAGCTTCTGAGTGGTTAGTGTGTTGTTCTCTAACATCACAACCATTTGTCACTTAATATCACACATAAATGCAGATGTTGATGCAACAGGTGAGTGGCAAGACTCTGTAGAAAAGCTGTAGTAAATTCGTAAGAGTTGAATCTCTACTATATCTCAACAGCTTTCATAGTTATTTAACTGAGAGATTCTAACTAGAGCATGGCAAACAAGAGGAGAACTCCCTTCCACATCTTTCAAAGCTGCACATCCAAGTCTGAAAAGCCTATTGCAAGAAATATGAGCTGTGTGTTTTAACAACCTACCCCAACATTGCATGTTTGTACAGGCTTTCCTTCTCATTTTGGCAAACATTTCTAAATGAACTGCTAGCTCATGACTTACTGGTAAAGCAGGAAAAGCAGCCTCATCTCCTTCTTCAATTTCATAGAAAGTTATGGTTTCTTCCAAACCTTGAGGCTCCTCCCCAGTCTCTGGTACAAATCCATACTGACATTCCTTATTGACACACTGCATCTGCCGGCGACTACGGCTATATGAACTTTAGAGAAAAATCAAGACATACACACGGGGGTTTAAGCAGATTTCCATTATTAAGTTTTAATTATACTTCTTTTGGAAATGCCCTTACATAAATGTTTGCAGAAGTGCTATTTACCCATTGTTCAGTATCGTGCCATTTTAAAAGCTTATTTTCCCCTTATTTGTAGTACAATGTTTTGTAAAGAAATTTATACTCGCTTACCGGGACCTATAGGAGAAATTGTCATAGCTCTGATAACATCTCTTCCCTGGTCCGGGGTAGAATGCTATTTGAGGGCCAACCATGTTGTTCCTGTTTATAAATCGGGCAGATCCCCTAAATTTAAAGGGCAAAAAAATCCAGTTACTAAGAAGTGCCTACTGATTCTCTCAGATGAAACTCACCTGTAGTGTCATCTGTTAAATAGATGAATATTAGCTAGGGCTAAAACTGTGGGAGAACTAACAGGGAAATGAATACTGGTCTTTGTTAGGGTTCCAAGGCTTCATACCTGGGCATTCCATATCCCCTGCCATGCCTCTGAGGAGAATTCTGAGGACGGTAGTGATCATAGGATGCCATATTCCCACAACTTTGAGAGCAATTAATTGGAGAAGAGCGACCTGAAGGAACATTGTGCTGTAGCCGGGGTGGAAGAACTGGCTGACCCCTACTATAAGCCATGGTCATGTAAACTTCCTTCCCACGGACTTTCTTAAACAGTCTCTTCCGTGATTTCATATCCATTTCTGCAATTTCAAAGAAGCACAAGAAAAAAAATAATGGGGGCGAGAGTGGAAAAGAAAAGTTAGCTCAGTTAAACATCTGTACGGATCTACTTGACTGCCTTAAATGGAGAAATAAGAAACTCCAGAGGTACATTCAGATTATAAAGTAATGCTAACAATTTCATATGAGAAATTCTGTAAGTTAATATTTGGATATGGAGTATGGCAAAAAAGTCATCCACCCAGAAAAGTGCAATCAAATGTGTGAGCTTATTAAAATACTAATTTAATCCTTTACAGGTAGATAAGCAGAATGTTTAATAGGCTTCCTATGCACAGAATAGCCTCCCAGTTTTGGCTAGGCCAAGCCCGTACTCATCATTCAAACCCCTCCCTGGAGACATTACTTTGTGATTCCCATAGGGAATGAGTCAATTACAAAACCCTTCACTGAATCATCAAGAGGCACACAAGCCTACACTGCTTTACTATGGAACTGTACTTCTGTAGCACGACCCCTTCCTCACTTCATTCCCTCTGCTGTTACCATCATTCTTATAACAAAATTAGATAATCTCTTTGATGAAGGGACCTGGCCTTTCTATATTGTCTGTGAAGTGCTTTACAGCCTCTTAAAGGTTTTAAATACTAAACTTTAACACACATTCTCAATGGATGTGCTATTTGTAAGTACCCCAGCAAAATACCCATCAGAAGTTCACCTCCATTCATCCCCTCTCCAAAGAAGGGTTTTCCTCAATCATTCCCCCTTAAAATGAGTTTTATATTACCAATTGAATTCAATCAGATCCAATATTTGAAGACTGCTGCTACAAACCTCGTTCATTCCCCTAAAAAAAAATATCAAATAAGATTCTTATTGAAACCATGTACAAACCTATTTCTGAAACATAGCCGCCTGTTATTTTCTGATAGTTTCCTCCTTTTCGACTGGGAACCACATTCCACGCAGGGACAGGTGTCACTTGTGTCACTGGTTTTAAGTTTGCCAATGGAACAATATGTCTACATGAAAAATACTAGTGTAAGTCAGTGCCACATTAGACAAAAATGACTGCCATGCTGCCATCAAGTGCAAGCAGATCTTACTGAACAGATTTTTCTTTAAATAAGCAGCACATAAAAACAAAGACAGTTTAGAAATGTATGTACATCTGTGTTAGCCAAACCCAGGGGACAGTTTAAATATAGCTTTTTATCATTCCAACCCACGTGTATAGTAATCCTACTTTGAGATTTCTCAGAGATAGAGGAGGGCAAAACAAAAGACTCTCCTGCTATAGGCATGTAACTTGCATCAATGGCAACTATCCTTTAGAGACAGATCCAGTGTCAGAGGCAGAATCATCCCCGTTACAGCACTAGTAAGACGCATATTAATGTAAAGTGTGTACAGTAGTCAGTTCCCACCCACCCTGCTTTTTATATTTATTTTAATTTGGATCCCAGCATTGTCTTGGTTTTCAGAGACTAGCTAGCTACTCTCAGGATTGTTTTAAATTTATCTTTAATCCAGTTTAACTTTTGCACATTCTTTCACTCAAGGGCACGCTGCAATACCTGTTACTTATAACATGCACATAGCACCAGAGTTGTGCTTTTTAATCTTACAGATAACAATACAGATTATCAAAGGTAAATTTGGGATGTGCCAACAAGTGGCATTTTTGCTAGATGTATGACTTATCTTAAGGCATTTACAAAACTCCCAAAATTAAGGGGGAGGGGCAAGGAGAGAATTTGAATGAGAGTTGTCAGAACAAATTTCAAGGACTAAAAGCAACCCATTATTTAGCTGTGATGCAAGTCCCACTCTTAAGAAGTTCTAGAAGCTAGTTGTGTAGACTCATTGTTTACCATGAACTCAGCCCAACCGGCAGGAGACTCTTCTGCTTTCTGTCCACATGGTAATTAGATTATACCCAGAATGTTTTCAATGAAAACCCAAGAGGTGTTACTCCTGCCATCTGCTCCGGTGGAATGGTAGCTACTGCCAACCTGTTAAACTGGTAAGGAACTGGGTCTGGTTTTTATTTTATATTCTGAAAAGAAACTGCACCCAGAGTTTCAAAACCATCTGACAGCCACAATTTAAACGTCTGTTGGGAGAGAGGTGTGTATGTGCTGACTCAACAAAGAAAAAGGATTTCAGCAAATAAGACACACAGCTCTAAGGCTGTCTTCAGATTGCTTACTTCTCTGCCAGCTCTTCAATGAACACAGTCACCATGTTGCCATCATGTCCAACTTCCTGGATATGAGCATTGTAGTACTTACCCACAGGCTCCAGACGTACCTGGAGAGGGAAACAAAGGGGGAGTAGGTAAACCCAAACGGTGACACATTAATGGTGCTTGGTTCCCCCCAATGGCTGGTAACATAGGAGCTGTTTTCATGCTGTTCACATACCACTGAGTTAGCTTGAGAGTCTTGGAATACCTCAGTCCAGCACTCCCCGCCCTACCCAACATAGAGATAGTAGATGAGTGGGCAGCAGAGGGAGAGACACTGCAGGAACAGATACAAACAACAAGAAAAAGAATAAGAGAGGACTTAATGGATGGAAGAAAGGCAGGGAGAGGACAGGTCAGAACCAAAACTGCCTTGTACGATTCAACAACTAAACAGGACCCATTGCACTAGGCACTGCAAAACACAGAACCAAAAAAACCCTCTTATTGTCCATCTTTCATTGCCATTCTGCTGCGGTTCATGTACAGTGCCAGTCAGTGGGGCATCTGTGTATTTCAAGAGTTCAGTCTTAAACTCCTCGACTTTCAGGATTCATAGCACTAGTTCATGGTCCGCTTTCAAGTGGCCCTTCCCATATACTATCTTGTGCTAGTTTTGAATTTACAGAAAGTTATAATAATAATAATAAAAAGAAAAATCATTCAGATGACCCCATTGTATTTAATAGCCATAATGAAAGAAGAAATCTCTGTAAGACCCTATGAGTTCAGATAATTTTATAACTTTATACTTTACTTAAAGCAACTTTAATAATTCATCATTACCGAGTCTGCTTCGAGTACTAACCTGACATTTGTCTCCTAAATAGTACTGTCTCCCAGCAAACACCATGTAATCAGTTTTTTGAAGTTCTACAAGAGATCAAAGTGAAAGTTTAAGCTAGGTACTATTCTTCATTTTTACCTATTAGTTCCCTTGAGTGCAATTCTGGGTATGTATTATAGGCTGAAATGAGTGAATTATCTCCTGTGTTTTCCTGGACATCATTATGTGAGCACTCTGAACTACCAAATGAGAAAAGTAATCCCTTCCAAGGCTTGAGCACTAGGGAAATGTTGCACTCTCCCCACATCTTGGGATGCCACAAAGCACAGTGACAACTCCAATGTGAATGATGGCAGTTGGGTTCTGGAGGAAGATTGTGCCTCCCAGATTTTCTTGCATGCCAAAGAATCCCAAAGCACTTTACAAAACACATATGCAACAGGATCACTTTGCTCATCACTGAAATTCAGTCCTTCCTGGGACCAGTGTGCAGCAATACTATATAGAAATTTTGGGCCAGAAACAAAAAACGTCCCTTTCCTCCGAGTCAGCACTGAGGTTATGTCCACACTGCATACCACTTGCGGTGGTGCGTAGGGTATGGGTAGCTACACATCACAATGAAAAGCAGGCTGCATCCACACTGGTGTGTAGCTACATGCATCAGTGAAAGGCTCTGGCACGGGGGAGGCAGTGGGGAAAGGCTCGGCAGCAGGGAACCTCCAGAATCTCTCTCCACTACCTCCCTCCTGCCAGAGCCTTTCCTTGCTGTGAGGAAAGGCTCTGGCAGGCCCTTGCAGCAGAGAAAGGCTCCCAGAGCTTTTACCAATGGCTGGAGCCTTTCCCTGCAGTGGGGAAAGACTCCAGCATTCGGGGGGAGGGCACCACTGTAGACAGGAGAGGCACTGCTTGTGCAAGTAGAGAGCTATGTAGGGTACATACACACAGGGCTCAGCCATGTCTTCACTCTACTTGCCTAAGCAGTGCCTTTCCTGTCTACACTACTATTAATACCCATGCTAGAGGTGTGTGCAGTGTATATACTCTACACCTCCCCAAAAGGAGCGAGCAGCGTAGCTGTACTGAGAGTCAAAAGCCCAGCCTGGCATTAGGGGCTGCTGTGCTGATGGAAGATCTGAAAACACCAAATGCTGACCAATTGTGATCATTTTGTAAGGCGGGATGTATCTGGATAATTGTAATCTACTTAAATCTCCCTGACAGGGAAATTCTGAAAAGTTATTCTTCCTTTATCACTCCTAAATTTCTGTATAGTGCTGTTGCACACTGGGAACTGGCTGCTCTGTTTAGTCCCAGAAAGGACTGGACTAAATTTCAGTGATGAGTAAAGCGAACCTGTTGCATGCCAAGGAATCCCAGATGTGAATGCAACAAGAGAGATGTGGGGAGAGAGAGTAACATTTCCCTAGTGCTCAAGCCCCTGGAGAGCTGGGGAGGAAGGGAGCACTTGTCTCATTTGGCAGTTCAAAGTGCACACTAACTGCTAAGCGACCCCCATCCTTTCCTGTTACTCTGAACCCAAATGCGTTTATGGAACACATGAGCCTTTGTGCGGACACTGCAACCATGAAAGTCCCCATTTTACATTTGAACGTGGTCTGACAATAGCATTACAAGACGATGCTCTGCTATTGCACTAAGCTTTCCTGAACCCCCACATTTCCTAGCCCAGAACCAGTATATTTTTCTCAACAGATCAGATTTCAGGAGCATGATGGACATCACATAAAATTGGAAGTACTCTACTGGTTGCTTAGAGATGAAAAAGAAGAAGTCTCTGGCCGGTAACAGGATGTATGCTCCACAGATACGTTTGCTGGGTTAGATAATGCCCTTCACGTTTCAGGTACGTGTCTATTGCTCAAGCCCTCTGTGCAGGTCCAAAATACTTGTAAATAGGTCTATAAAATAATCTCATGGAGCCTCAATAAAACTTTTACTGTTAGCCAGGAATTTATAGACTATTCAAAGGGTTTTTTTAGGTACCTTTTCTGCTGTCCAACCAAACATCAAATTCTACATTTCGATAGATCTCAGGGTCCAGGGCTTTTAGCACTTTATAGGGAAAAGGCATCTTTGATGGATTTTCTGGAGGCTAAAACAGAGTTAAAATGGACTACAATTAAAAGCATGCCATATATTCACAACCCTTGCAGAGGTTCTAATTATTTCAAATAAGCATATACACTTTGTCTTCCCTGCCTCTTTCACTTCCACTATGAGATGTAATTAGTTTGCTTCAAGTACAGAATCTAAGAAGAATATGAACAAGTCTTTAGGTATTATGGATTCTGAGGCTTGAGGACAAAGTAGATAAATAAAAATCATGTTGAAGAAGTTCATCACAGACTCTATACTGATCTGCTTGATTTCAGAATAGAAAGTTTTTAGTCACTAGGTAAAAACAGGGAAGGAAAAACTAACTAGAGACTGACTTTCAGAAGCTGCTGACCACACAACTCCAAACCAAAGTCAATGTGTGCGTGTAATTAATTACATTACACACATACACAGGCTCCTTGAATGTTAGCTAGAGCAGTGTTTTGAGCCAGGCCTGGTAAAATGGAACAGCACTGTTCATGTGTCTAAAATAAAATAAGATAAATTAGATCGTTTCTAGGTAAGAGTCCAGATCAGGGATTGTTTGCCAAATTTTGTTTTTAAAACCTGTAGGGTTTTTTTTTAAAAGCTATCTAGAGAACAAGAGTCTCAGAAATAAGCTTTTTAATATGATAAAAGGCTCAACAATTAATTTAAAAGAAGGGATAAAGAATACCAGGGCTAAAAACTAAACATGCACATGCAAGATTGAGGAAATAAAAAAAGGGTGTAAATCTCCAACAGCAGCATTTAGAATAGGAAGGGCTGATTCAACCTTAATCACAGTATCATGAACACTAATGGGAAAGAATTAAAGGATTCTCCCTTAATTGCCAAACCTTTGCCTCTTCAGTGCCTTGTTTGAGTTTATCTTCAGGTGGGTTGTCAGTATCATTGCCTTCCCAGTCTTCCACTCTAAGCAATTTAAAAATAGGATTACAAAATACAATGCAAGATTTCTTGCCAGCCCTGAAATCAACAAGATCAAACTGACTGAATGACCTAATAGAAGAACCATGGCGCCATCAAGTGATAAGATGCAAGCCAGAACCTAACACTATTATAATGTAGTACAAATATGAAGTTTTGCACATGCAGCACTCACACAGAGTAAACTCTCTTCTGATTGTAAATAAAATGATCTCTCCCGTAGCCCCTTCAATTCAGGTCTTCCACACAGTAGCAGCCAACATTGCTTTATGTTTAAGAAAGGGTCAGCCCAGTTCTATTCTGCAAACTTAAACACTCCTTCAGTTATTCCACTCATGGGCACTATGGAGTTCCTTTTTTTTTTTTTTTTTTTAAATCTCAAGGACTCCTTAACAAGTGTGTCTAATTTAAAAGTGTTTAAGAACTGCCAGAGCCAGCAACTTAAATTGGGTCCTGTCTGGCTTGCACTTCATCACCATTAATAAGGTCAAATGTTGTCCTCTCATCTGTACAATGCCATTGGTTACTACCCCATCAGAAACAAAAGGGCTACACAGTGGCACTGCAAATGAGGGCAGGATTTGGTCCTAAACTTAAGGCATAGTTAACGATGTACAAGCTACAACAGAATCAGCTCACTTTCTCATAGCAGTCTTGCTGCTGCCATACTAATAGGAATTAAAGCCAATGATTCTGATTACTCATGATTTGTTCAGTAAGAAGGTGCCATCTGACAGTGCTAGTTGACTATAGCCAGTGGGAAAGGTTGCTGCTCAAACACATGTCACTTCCCAGTCCCAGGAAAAGCACGCTGATTTTTCCACAATATGCTCAGACTCTGGCTCAGTACCAGGACATTGGAGGATGGCCACAGATGTTCCACATGGAGGCTCAGAACACACCTAGAAGACTAGTCCCACCAACACCTTTTTTAAGTGATCAGTTAGCGTTCACAGGATATTTTGTTTTTAATCCCGTACCTCCTTTCAGATGAAGTTTTGGACACTTTCTCGGGAAGGCAATCAAAGTTTGCATCCTCACTTCCAACAGAGGCACTGTTTCTGTTCTTTTTGGCCCCACTTCGAAACATCTCAACTGCAGTTCTCAATTCCTCCTCATCCATGTCAAACACATCTTTGTACAGGATCTCGTACAAGACAGCTGGGCAAACAAAGCACAGAGAACCCAATGGTTTTGACTTCGTGCCAGACAAAGAACACCTGGAGTCTGACAGGTGACCTTAGAGTAGTGGATGTGCTTATTGTGGACTTTCATAACACACCAACTACATTAAAAATAGTTAATGAGCTTTCCACTTTCTTCTCCCTTCAGTACCCCTCTCCTCCCAAGAAAGAGAACATTTGAAGAACTTAACACTCTTCCCATTAAAAATAGTGTAAGAGAGTTAATTTACCCTGGCAAACAGCAGCATCTGCCTGAAATTGTTTTGTATACACAGAGTCGTAATGGCCGTTACTGGAACAACACAGCAAGATCTTGAAAAAACAACAAAAAGCTTTGAGGAAGAAATGAAAGAAAACCAAACATTTTCTATTTGATGTTCTCACTCGAGACTACAAATCCTTTACTTATTCTAAAGCCAGTGCTTTAACACGCTGTCCAAACAATGGGTATGCTTAGTATAAATACAAACAGAGTGTTAGAAACAGAGTTGATCCCTATAAAAGACTGTAGCAAGTGTACAAATAAGTTTGCCTATCACCCACATGGACACTGTTTTGTCATTTCATGAACTGTTAAAGGTCAAATATGAGGGACTTTACTATGAGTCAACTACCTTATGAACAAACAGTCTAGAAGTTAAATGCCACTCTTACATTAGAATCCCCAAACTTCAAAATCTTATTGGCCCACTAGTATCAAACTAGAGGAAAAGCTATTTCACAAGAAAAAGCTAAATATAGAACTTTCCCTACACCCTTCAATTGTGTAAAAACTTCAAGTGGGTTTAGACTATCTACTGCTTTACGTAACAATGCACAACCCACAAAAATCAAGCTAATTAATTTCTATCCAGGAGGGGAAAAATACACCCCAAAAAACCCCCAAAACTTGTCTGTTCTCTTTTGGGGAAGGGAGAAGAGTGCCCTTTCTTCACCCATATATTTGTCTAATCTTGCCACCTTCACTTTGCTCATTAGCAACTCAATCCAACTATCTCATTCTAGCTAGTAAGATTTAAAAAAAATTCAAGCACCATCACCCCAGAAAAGCTAAAGTTGATCAAATGGGAAGATTCCTCATCTGTAATATCCTAACTCCTGCAGCCAACAGGAACTGTTTCAACTGTGAAAAAATTCATTTGGGGAGCATTAGCCTTGTTGAAGTTAGCTTTGGTTTTGTTTAAGTGTGCAAAATGCGCAGAGACTTCACTGGAGTTACAAGAGCAAAACTGAAGTGAAAATCTCATTAGAACAGAGTGAAATTAGAGCTATCTAGGAGTGGGAGGGTAGAAAATTGGCTCATATCTCCTTACCTTGTCTTCAAAGCCATTGTTTGTAGCATAGGCAGGTGGCTTTCCAGGGTACCGGTACAGAATAAAGTCTCGACTAGGCAAGAAGGCCGGGGGGGGTGGGGGGGGGAAAGAGGCGGAGAGGGAAGAGAGAAAAAAAAATCGAGAATTGAAAGAGCATGCGTTTAATGCAAGTGCTTGTTATGAAGACATTTGAAGAGAATAGTTTGGAGGAGAATCCACTGTTGGTTAATATAGAGAATGAGAGCAGAATATTTTTCCTAACAGTGAATGCCAACATAAAATTTAAGCAATAACTAAATTCACAAAGTGGAACTATCTACTTGAAAGAAGAAATATTTGGTAAAATCTACGACGTCTGGTTTCAGATAATAAAAAGAGCATCTAATTATGTCAGGTAATTCTGATCTCAAGACAGATTGCTCTGATAGTGAGGCAATTAACCCTAAACGAAGTAGTTCCCAAAAGGGTTAGAATCTCAGTACAGGATGCCATTAGAACCTTGTAGAAATCTAATTGTTCATTTTGGACTGAAACAGGATGCAAAGTGTTTTAGTGTCTCTGCCATTAGGCTCCTAAACTGTTTGTTCAGAAGTGGTAGTATTTTTTTTTTTTTTTTAAGCAAGACAGACAGTGCCTACAGAGGATTCAAATGTTAATTGAAATTATAAATTTATTTTAAATGCATTTCCAGGCATACACACCGAGCAGCACTTATCACTTCCTGAATTTTCAAGGACACCTCATATAGCAAGCACAGAGTTTTATTTGTGTGTTGGCAATTAACTTTTATAGCTAGCATTAGTGCACACAATTCTACATCATTTCATACACTTCCCCGTCAGTAAGTCTTTCACTGTAAACTCTTAAAAAAAGTGTAATAGTTATGAAAAGTGCCAAACAGACATCACTAGAGTCTGAAGCCCTCTGATAATTCACAGAGCCAGTACTACCTGGGCAGCAGCAATGAAACCTCCAGTAGTCAGGCTTAGCTCCATCTCCATGGCCACCAGGTCTTTGTCCTCTTGTGAGACTTAATTAGGATGCCAATTCAGTACATTTCAGGATGTGGGATCCTCTTTACCTGGAATTGGTCTGCAGCCACCCATTCACATAATAAACATTGAACGGCAGTCACTCCTAAGCCAAGCTGACATCAGAACTAGATGATCATAATGGTCCCTTCTAGCCTTAAAAATCTATTAATCAAGAGATCCTGGGCCCCACAGCTAGTACCCTTAACCATTCACAGCCCATTACAAAATTAATTTTATTTTAAAATAAAAATTTTTAAAAAAGGAAGAGACTTACTTATAGATCAATGAGAGCGCACTTATTTCCAATTGGCCAGCACTTTCCTAGGTGTATAAAATTATTTTGAGATCATGTTAGAAGGTACAAAAATAAATGTTCTTCGTCAAATGTGTAGTGGAGCTGACCACTGAGCCTGCCATGCAGTACTTGGAACTGTATACTGGCTCTCACTATACCATTAGAAGAGCTAGTCAACATTTTTCGTGATTTTTTTTTTAAATAAGCATTTTCTACCCAGCTCTAACTACTGGATAAAATTCTGAGCCCCTATCTTCAAAGCCCTAAAAGACTCAAACCAAGCTCTATACAGGAGGACATCTGAATATACTGCCCTCTGCAATAACTGTGCTTCATAGGGACAAGGAGAAAAAGGGTCTACTCCTCAATCCTTAAAAGTTAGTGGTAAGTGTAAAACCCCTCAGACTACCTTAAAAATATTTATGTGGGCACTGAAGAAAACCCACTGAGAGAGAGGAAGAGAGAGAATCAATGTGAAGTGATGATGTACTTCTCAAATTCTTAAGTTCCATCTTTTGCAAAATTCTGATTCCTTCTGCGTCTGGAAATTTGTAAAATATGAGGATTCCTGAAGAGAAGATCACTGACATAGGACAAGTAAGTATTCAATTTTTGGCCCAGTAATCAGAGGCAAAGTTGTAGCTAAGCTCTACTAGCTAGACCTGTGCCAGTCTCAAATATATTTTTAAGTATTTCTTTGATAAACATACTACATTTGCTTTAGATACTCTTATATCCTGCTCATGTTCACTAGTTAAAAATCTTCAAAGAAACAATAAGTTAAAGAAAGAAAGTAGGGGTTTTCTTTTTTCCAAATCTGGAAAAAAATGAGAAATTTGTCAAACATTTGCTATGAATTATGCACCCAGTTTTGTAACAGCCTGTTAAAGATCCAGGCTGACAGGACCAAAGTTTGGTTCCCTCAGCTTAAATTACATTGTTGTGGTTTGACAATGCCCCTTTTTTGCCCACAAGCAAGAACCAAGGCCCTGATCCTGCCATCAGATCCACAGAGTTCTACTGCACCCACACAAAGTCCTATTGAAATCAACAGTGCTCTGTTCAGGTGCAAGGGTCCACCTATGTTGATCTGAGAACAGGACTGAGATACAAGTTAGCAGGGAGAACAAAAAAACATTCAAACTTACATTCCAGCAAACTTCATGAGCTTTTGGGGCTCAGCCTCAGGAATATGAATCTGGCCTTACCTTTGGATCTCCCAGCCGTTCCAGATATTTTTCAAATGATCCTTCCACATACTTTAAAAAAAAAAAAAAGGAAAAAGAAAAAAGAGATATAATTGATTTAATCAGCTGCATATCATTACTAAATCTGCTGGAAACATTTAGAGTCAGAATTTGCACTTTGTATTTAAAACGTTTAGAGGAAAACTGAAAATATTTTTCTTATTTGTATTACTCTAGTGCCTAGGAACCAAGTCATGGATCAGGACCCCATTGTGCTAGGCGATGTACAAACAGCTGATCCCTGCTCCAAGGAGCTTACAATCTAAGTTTAAGACAACAGATGGATAGAGACAATTGGGGCAGGGAGGAGTACAAGGAAACAATGAGATGATATTGGTCAGCATATAGGCAGTGGTTTTAGGCCAACAGCCTTCGAGTTCATAAGGCAAGTAAGTAGCCTTCCTGATCATGAATGATTTCTCCCTCTCCCCCACATTTAGGAACAATTGCATATGTATGTGCTTAGTAAAGGAGGTAACTTCTTGCTGAAAAGCTATTTTATCTATATGCACTAGATTGAACAGAAAAAAAAAATCACAAAGTCAGAATTATAGCAGTGTTTCCTCAAACATATTAAGGTAGCACATGGGAATGTCTTGTGTCAAACATGAGGTCTGGAAGGTCCAGATATCTCGTGCACATGCAAAACTAAATGTACAATTTGGTTATATCTGGGTCTAATACTTCGGTCTGAAAATTTTAACAATTTGCCCCACCTGCTCGCATTCAGTGCATTGCAGAAGTGACTTTTCAAGCACATTTGTTTTTAAATTGCAGGGTAACAATTTTAGCTATTATCAAATTTTATATCTACTCCTCTAGTTGAAAAGGGATAGCTTAAGGTTGGGAAAGGTAGATACCCTAAAATACACAAGTGCAAATACTAGCATTGCTCACCCCAGCCCTTCCTCCAGAGGCCAATATCTTAAATGCCACGTAGTTTACTGTGTCCTTCTTTTATTGGATATGGCAAAGATCTTGGCTGCTCTGTATGGAAGTTAAAATACCACAGCAATAATTGTGAGTAGGAACTTGTGCAAGTGCCTGTCACCAAAATGTCTTATCTCACTATTATGCAGCATGTTCTGAGCCAACTGGATGTCTCCCTCCACCGCAATGGTAGCTGCATTTAAGTGGGAGTATGTACACAGTGTACAAAGCACTTTAATAACACTTGATGTGAAAAAGACTGTAGAAAACTTACAGTATTATAATACTAAAAAGTTAGTTTATTGCTTTCAATATCTATTTTGTGGATAAAACATTTAGAATTGTTCCCTTAAGATGCAGGGAAAGCCATTTGTGAATTAGAGTTCAAATAGCCAGTAGAGTATTCAGAATGCTCTTCAGAACCAGGTTGTTTCAAAGCAGTCACAGGACCTGTCTATACTGGTAAGTTTACCTGTTGCCACTGATCCATCAGCAGCAACAAATACATTTCCTAATATTCAGCAGTATTGTAACAAACCGAGGCTAGGTATATAAAGACACCACAGTTGTCGGCAGGGATTTAATTTGTGATCTTCTGAATGAAAACCACAGACCTCTACTACTTCAGTTAAAGCAGAGTCTTCACTGGGTGAAAATAGCAGGCTTCTACAGTTGTTGAAGTCATCCACTGAAAGCGTACAGTGACATTAAAGCACGTATAACACCATGGTTAAAGAGCTATGCTGTATTCCACTGTCCTTAGAGGTGCATGTTTTACTTCAAAGTGTAGTTTCCTCACACACAAGAAGTTTCAGTTTCACAAAGATAGCTTATTAAATATCTATACAGTACTATAATCAGTTACTTAAAATGAGAGATCAGATGTTTAGAATAAATGTATATTACCTTTTACAAATAAAAATGTTGTGCCATATAAATATATTTCCAAGGTTTAGAAACAAAATCTAAGGTTGACTAGAAACTAATGGACAGCATACAGAGTAAGGCAAACAAGCAAGCCTTTTACCCTCGACTTCTCATCTCGCTTAGTGCTAGTTTAAACCCGGGCTTGGTCAAAACTTAACAAAACAAAGTACAGGGAGATGTAGGTTTTCAGTGCAGAGACCTACATAACTGTTTATGTATAAACACCCCCATTATTTCCACACACACAAAACTTTGCATATCATAAATACACCAGTCTACTTACAGACTCAAAGTTATGCTGGTTTTCCCTCATAAACGAAACACAAGCCTTCCTGACTTCCGTATGATGAATCTGACAAGAAAACAGCTAGAAAATAAAAAAGGTGTTTTAAAAGGCACTGAAATGAAAGGTTTTCAGCTAATTTTAAATTACACTTTACACTAAGGCTCCCTTTACATATAGTTTACATCAGTGGTTCTCAACCAGGGGTCCAGGGGTCCCTGGGGGACCGTGAGAAGGTTTCAGGGGGGTCCTCCAAGCAGAGCCAGCGTTAGATTCGCTGGGGCCCAGGGCAGAAAGCTGAAGCCCCACTGCCTGGGACTGAAGCCCAGGGCCCTGAGCTCTGCCACCTGGGGCTGAAGCCAAAGCGTGAACAACTTAGCTTTGCGGGGGCTCTACAGCAGGGAGCCCCAGGTAAGTGTCCTGCACAGGTGGGCAGTGGAGTTTTTATATCATGTTGGGAGGGGGGGGAAGCCTCTGAAATTAAAAGGTTGAGAACCCCAATTTACATTACAAGGTGAATATATTATACGCATGTTACAGACCTGAACAACATATACTATAGGTAATTATAAGCACACCATTAGGTGATAGACAGTTGTAATCAACCTATAGACTCATTGGGCTAACAGTCTATAGAAAGCGATGAATCGTTTAATAAAACCCTTTATAAGTTACTCATAAAGAGAACCTCAATATAGAGCATGATCTTTTTTGGTTGCACATCTGTGCCTTACGTTATTTGCCCCCGCATTTTTAAGTGGAAGAATTTGAAGATGCTAAAGGAAAATAAATGGATTGTTGATTAGGTAACCACTGGTAGAATATTAGTCCAAACGAGAACCCCAAAAGAAAAGAAGTCAAACCCCACTTACAAGCGCAGCTGGCTCTTTTTAGGAGAGAAGGGGCTAGAATCTGGGGGAAGGGAGAAGAGAAGTTCTCTCCCCAAAGGCATGAATTGTATTGAACTCCAGCTAGCAGAGCTAGGATGTGGTGGGGAAAGGACCACCCAGGTCTGGCCTATGAGGGGAACGAGCCTTGAGGGGCAGCCACCCTGGGTGGGAAGGAAACTCCTTTTACCTGCTCGGAAATAGCCCGAAAGAGACAAGAGGCGTCTTTAGCAGTGAGCTTGCGGTACAGCCCCAGGCTGGCCAGATACTCATCCATGGTGACCTCGCTGAGGGATTTCTGGCCGAAGTATTTCTTCCAGCCTTTCTGCATCTTCCGACCGGGGGCGGGTTCGGGGGGGGGGGGTGGAAAGGAGGGAGGGGTAACTCCTACTTCTGCGAGGCAAGAGCCCCCGGGTCCAGCCTGAGGACTAGGAGCAGGCACCAGGCTGGTGGGAGGACAGCTGCATTGTGGCCCCGGGGGCTTTGGAGCCGTGGGGCTGGGGGGAGGGGAGGAGGGGCTCGCTGGGGAGGCTGCAGGGGAGACGGCGGTGGGGCGGGGATGCGCTGAGTGGGGAGGGGGAGCGCCGCTGAGCGCAGCCGCCTCCCGGGCGCACGGGGCTGCGCGTGGCGTCGCTCGCTGGGAGCCCAGCTGCAGGCAATGAGCCCGGGCTGCCCATGCTTCCGCGCCTCTTCTGGTGATCGGCCCTGGTCTCGTGCCTCATATAGCCAAGCGAGCCGGCCCTGGGGAATCAATCGGTGCCTGAAGCCCCAAGGAGCAAAGTGTAAAAGTTACAGAACAGGCGTCCCGAAATGTCCGGGCCTGGGGACTGCTCCCTTCTCCTCTTCCCCGTGGGGCTATGACAGACACAACATCCCAAGGGAGGGAGAGCAATCACAAGTGTTTAACAACCGAACTAGCCCCCCAGGGCAGGCGTAGAATCCGCAGCCCCACAAAGACTCGCTGTTGATTCTGGCTGGTGGTCCTGGGTCGCCTTAAATGTGTTTCCATATAGCTGTTTCTGCTCCAAGGGTTGTTATTAGTAGCGAGTGAAGTATTATTTTATATGCCTCTCATAGAAGATAATTTTGGACTGATTTGCTTATGTGGTCTAGCTTGTCTGTTGTAATGCATCAAAATGTAAGTTTAAAATACAGAGAAAGTTAAAAACTTTATTTCCTTAGAATGCCACTATTAGTTGCTCCAGTTTGCTTTTCACTGGTTATATTACCCTTTGTGTGTCCTTCTCCCTCTCCCCCCCCCCTTTTATATTCAGATTTGGGTGGTTTCTTAGCAGGTGTAAAGGCTTTTCTACTCCTTTTCAAAAACAGGTGCCTAATACACAGAGCTGGTGACAATTAAGTTCTAATGAACCAATGAGGCATCAGAGAGGAGAACATGAACATTTATGTGTTTTACTAGACTCCTTTAGATGTAGTGTAAGTTAGTAATAAACATTTGTCTTTCTTGTTTTCTATTTGTAAGCCCCAATCCTGCAAATTATTGAGCTCAGTGGGACTGTTCCCATGTAAAATTACTCACATGCAGGTTCAGAGTCCATGTGTGTATCTGTTTTTTTTCCCCCTGTAAAATTGATTGTTCTTTGACTAAAAGATCAATAAAATACTGACAACAGATGCTCTCTAGTTCTTCATCCCACCCTAGGAAGAGAAGGGATTTCTTGTTAGGCTGAGTTCATATTGATTATTTAGAGCTTTTTTTCTGCTGTGCTTATATATGACTATAAATAGCATGTTGCAAATTAGGGGTTAATTCCTTTGGTCCCTACTGCAGCCAAAACTGCTAAGTAGTTTCATAGGGACTCTAGGCCCAACTCCTGCAATACCTAGTTCACAAAGTGGTAAATATTAACCAAGCCATGTTGTCTTTGCCAACTTAGAAAGTGAAAATCTCAGTGAGGAAAATTTGGGGGATTAGAAAAATTAACTTGTGCTATTGGACAGCAGATAAACTGTTTATGAAGACAGCTGTCATTTGTGTTTCTCAGGTGTTACTAAGGGGTGTAATTAGACATCAAACATGTACATGCAGAACTTTAAAAAAAAACTTATTTTAGGCAAAACACTATTTAAAGGAGTGACATTTAATACCAATTGCACAATTACGTGATTATTTAGTAGTAGGAACAAAATATTCTATGTGAATATTGTCAAGGCTCACAACTCTTCCAATTAAACCTGCCCCATTTTTTAAGTATCTGCTTGACATTTACAGGACAAAATACTGGTAGAGTAGTATCGTGTAATTGATGGGTGGTATTACCAATCCCTCTCCCCTACCTTTGGGGAAAAACCCTCTCAAAGCCCTCTTGCTGGCATTTTTGTCTTTCTTACTCTCTTTTTCCATGCTCCTGTAAGTGCCTATGGCGAGAGTGCTGACGACTTCTATTTATTTGCAGAACAAATACTGCAGGGGCAGTGGAAGTGCAAACCTCACACCACACTAACAATGTACCTTCACCAGGTGGAACAACGTTAATCTGCATACCTATTCTATCCTTGGTCTCCCTGTTGATACTACCAATTTGAATGAGATTTTTAATATGTTTTATGAGGGCCCCTCTTCCTGTTGTGGACTAAAAAACCCCTTTGCAATGGAGACATCTCAGGAAGAGTGAGATTCATTCAGTTCTTCTTCACACAGTGCAGTCAACTTGTGGAACTCCTTGCCTGAGGAGGTTGTGAAGGCTAGGACTATAACAGGGTTTAAAAGAGAACTAGATAAATTCATGGAGGTTAAGTCCATTAATGGCCATTAGCCAGGATGGGTAAGGAATGGTGTCCCTAGCCTCTGTTTGTCAGAGGATGGAGATGGATGGCAGGAGAGAGATCACTTGATCTTTACTTGTTAGGTTCACTCCCTCTGGGACACCTGGCATTGGCCACTGTTGGCAGATAGGATACTGGGCTGGATGAACCTTCGATCTGACACAGTATGGTCATTCTTATTCTTATGTTCTTATTTGAAGAGAAAGGGTAGAGTAGGAACTGTAATAGTTTTGCTGACTGATGACTGTTAGATGGGCTGATTTTGCCAGCTATTCCACAGAGGCATACGGAGCTAGCCCCCTAGGAGCAGCTTGCAGGATGGAATCTTGGTTTGGTTATTTTCTTTGTAATTATTTTTGTATTGTGCGTTTAATTGTTGTCACGGTCACCTGGAGCCTGGATGGGCACGCTTTTATTTTGCTGGTTTTGTTTTTCTTTAAATTAAAGTAAATAATTTCAAATAACCCTCTTTGAAACTTTTGTTTACTACTGATTTGGGCTGGATTTGAACTGGCAAAGTAAATGCACTTCCAGAGCCCACAAGTCATATGATTCCCCCTAAATGTAGAGGCCTCTGATGGTTTACTAGAAAACAGGACAAAAAGATGACCAGAATACTACAACGAGAAAACAAACCAGTCCTTTTACCTAAAAAAATGAAAAACATTAATATTACTGTAAAAACTTATCAAAGACTGTTCCTTTAACTAAAAATGATGAAAATGCTATGTCCTGGAATGGAAATACTAGTGCTTAGAAATGGCTAGAGTGTCTGATTAATAAAAGAGAAATGGCGACTCGTACAGAGATTCATATAATAGGAAATCAGAAGGTTACAGGTGTTTATTTGATCCAGGATGAAATATGAACAGTGTCCGAGCAGTCAAAGACCTGAACAATTTTTGGGGAATAGGTACTGAAAACATTGTAAAGCACATAATTTCATTTTCTATAAAGTGTTAATAATCTGAAATCTTTTCCGTCTCCATCCCAACCTAAAGCTCAGGTCAGAGCAAGGAGGATAATATCTGAGATATTAGAATGATATACAAACAGTATTTTTCTTTTTCATGACATTTGAACAATTAAGTAATAACTAGAGCTAGTCTGGAGTTTTCCAACTGAATATTTTTCACGAAACTCTGTGGGAAAGGGTTGGTATTGACAAATTTCCCAATTTGAATTTTTTATTTTAAAAAATGTTTTGAAATGGTCAAAATGTTGTTTCAAGATTTTCAAAACAAAAAGTTTCATTTTTGGTTTGAAACAACTTTTTGTTTTGAAAATTTCTGTTAATTTATAATCTCCAAAAAGAAAGGTTAAAAAAGGTTGAAATAAAAATACAAAGTTTTGGAATTATCAAAAGGAAACATTTCATTTTACCTAATCCAAAAAAACCCAATTCAGGTTCAGTTCATAAAAATATGAGATTTATAATTTGTCACTATTTGTGGTAGGATAAATTTCAAAATCATTAAAACTTTCATGGGATAGGAAAACCATTTTCCACCTAGCTCTAAAAATAAGATAGCCTACTTCATGTGTCTACCCCTACCAGCTGACCACAGTGACTGTACAGTCTGTTAACTTCTAACCCAGGTTTTCACTGCAGTTAACAAATCAAATTAGTCTAACTCAGATGAGAGCAGTCAAACTATGAAATAACATTCAGATTGTAGTGATTGGATTGCCCGCTGAGTTGTGTTCACTTGAACTCTAGATTATAACCCTTGACAGGCCAGCCAAATCAAGTTAAAGAACTACCATGCTTGAGTTCATAGTTTTTGTGTATGGATGGGATTTGATCTGGGGGCAACACTCAAGTTATAACGCAGGTTAACTCTGCAGTGAAGCCAAGTCCCTAGACTAAAGGCAGCCTGCCTTAGTACAAGTGATAGATTCTTTTAGTGCTGGGTTTGATCACATCTAACAATTTTGGTGTCTGGATATGTGACCAAGAGTTTAACACAACTGTTTAGCCCTGGTTAAAATTATTTTAAAATAGAGCTTATTTTAAATTAAACCCTTTTTTTAAAAAAAACAAACAAAGTGCTGTTCTCTCTCCATAGACATTAAAGAACCAATCACATGACTTGAAATAATAGTGATTTTTCCTGGTGTGCTTGGACTAAAATTTCCATCCACAGCTGTTGTGCACTGTGTGGTTTACTAGTTGGTTATCACACTCCCACCTTCGAGGATGCTGCATTTCATTGGTGCTGTGTGCATATGTGTACATATATACTGAGCCTCTCAAAACAATGTTTTCTTTATTTGATATAGGTGTCCTTTCTGTTCTCAGTTAGGTGAAATTATTGGCACTTTTACATTTCAACCTGCATGAACTCTGACACGGACTTGCAGCTATATAAATAAATCAAACCTGGAGTCCAAAAAATATTTAGCCTATGTCTGGAGTAGAAAAACAGGAGTTTAGGATTGACCATGACCACCTAACACATATAAGCAGACCTGGCCCTGTCTACACTAGGTGAAAACTCCTGTATAATGTTGTATTTTTAAAAATGTGTTTGTGAACATGATTTAAAACACAACCTATTCACCTTGCCTGGACAGGTCTACAATGTTGTAAGAACCTCTGATTGAATAGTCTATATTTTCCAAAATTCTGCCAAACAAAAGTGTATTTAACCAATAATAAGTTCTGTTTGTTGTGTGAATGTTTATTAATACCCACACCGCAAACATAATACATACAAACTAGGGCAGTCAATTAATCAGTTAACTCACGTGATTAACTCAAAAGGATTAATCGTGATTAATCACACTTATAACAATAAAATACCAATTGAAATTTATTAAATATTTTGGATGCTTTTCTACATTTTCGATATTGATTTCAATTACAACACAGAATACAAAATGCACAGTGCTCACTTTATTTTATTATTTTTGATTACAAATATATGCACTGTAAAAATGATAAGCAAAAGAAATAGTATTTTTCAGTTCACCTCATACAAGTACTGTAGTGCAATCTATCGTGAAACTGTAACTTGCAAATGCAGATTTTTTTGGTTACATAACTGCACTCAAAAACAAAACAGTGTAAAACTTTAGAACCTACAAATCCACTCAGTCCTCCTACTTATTCCACCAATTGCTAAGACAAACAAGTTTGTTTACCTTGATAGGAAATATTGCTGCCTGCTTCTTATTTACAGTGTCACCTGCAAGTGAGAATAGGCGTTCGCATGGCACTTTTGTAGCTGGCGTTGCAACGTATTTACATGTCAGATATGCTAAACATTTGTATGCCCCTTCATGCTTCAGCCACCCTTGCAGAGGACATGCTTCCATGCCGATGATGCTCGCTAAAAAAATAATGCATCAATTAAATTTGTGACTGTACTCTTTCGGGGGAGAATTGAATGTCTCCTGCTCTGTTTTACCTGCATTCTGCATATATTTCATGGTATAGCAGTCAGGGATGATGACCTAGCACATGTTCGTTATAAGAACACTTTCAGAGCAGATCTGACAAAACGCAAAGAAGGTACCAATGTGAGATTTCTAAAAATAGCTACAGCAGTCGACCCAATGTTTAGAATCTGGAGTGCTGTCCAAAATCTGAGAGGCACGAGATGTGGAGCATGCTTTTAGAAGTCTTAAAAGAGCAACACTCTGATACGGAAAATATAGAACCCAAATCACCAAAAAAGAAAATCAATCTTCTGCTGGTGGCATGACTCAGATGATGAAAATGAACATGCGTCAGTCCGCACTGCTTTGGATCGTTATCAAGCAGAACCCATCATCAGCATCGAAGCATGTCCTCTGGAATGGTGGTTGAAGCATGAAGGGATATATGACTCTTTAGCGCATCTGGCATGTAAATATCTTGCAACTCCAGCTACTACAGTGCCATGTGAACGCCTGTTCTCACTTTCAGATGACACTGTAAACAAGAAGCAGGCAGCATTATCTTCTGCAAATTGTAACCAATCTTGTTTGTCTGAGTGATTGGCTGACCAAGAAGTAGGATTGAGTGGACTTGTAGGCTCTAAAGTTTTACGTTTGAGTGCAGGTTTTTTTGTACATAATTCTACATTTGTAAATTCAACTTTCATGATAAAGAGATTGCACTACAGTACTTGTATGAGGTGAATTGAAAAATACAATTTTTGTTTTTTACAGTGCAAATATTTATAATAAAAAATATAAATTGAGCACTATACACTTTGTATTCTGTGTTGTAACTGAAATTTATATATATGAAAATTTAGTAAACATCCAAAAATATTTAAAACAAATGGTATTCTATTATTGTTTAACAGCGTGATTAATTTTTTTTAATCGCTTGACAGCCCTAATACAAACCTTACTTTACTGTATTTATTCACAAAAATTTACATCACAGACTCCTTGCCTTGCTTTTCTGATGCTATGACATGTAAAAAAAACCTCTCTGTTGAAATAAAGATATTAGCAGAAGACACATAATTGAAATAAAGAAATCTGAAATCTGTTGCAGAGAGTGTGTTCATACTTTTTTTAGGAAATTATAAAGTTGAGCCAATTTTCCTCTTTTCAGCTCTTAAGATGCCAAACAAAGTTTCTGTTCCGCTCTGTCCCTTTCACATATTTGTTGCATGTCCAAAATCACACAGCTAAATTTGGGAAAAAATATCAAAACAAATTATAAACTTTTAGGAGGCAGGGGCTGTCTTTTTATTAAGTATGTATGCTGCCTAGCTCAATAAGCATTCATGAAATAAAATTAATTTGTTTCCATCGTTTGTGGTCACATGTACTGTGACATTTGGAACCGCATCACTGTCAGCTTTCAAATACAAACATTTAACGAACATTTAGAGGAAGAGCACTTTAATTTAGACTTAGCTTGTATCCTACTTACAGGGATCAGAACCACACTAAAACATGGTTGTTGATATGGGTGTAACTAGAAGGGTGTGAGTCAGTGTGGACAGGGATTTTTTTCCTCCTGAAAATTGTGCTAGCAAATTTTGTTGAAGACTAACTTTTTAGCAGTGTACCACTATGTTTGACTGTTTGCATAAAACAAAACTCAACCACACTGCAGTGATCTGGGAGAAGCAGTCAGAACTTCAATAACAGCTATGTATCAACATAAGTGTAACTAGTACAGGTCTGTTCCAAGTGTGGACCAGGCTATATTACGAAAGAAGCTGCTGTGGTGGAGGACCTGGTTTCACATTAATTTCCAATATGGTTAAAACACTATGTGGCCTTATAGATGGGATCAGACGATGCTGTTAGTACCTGACAGAGATTGGGGCTTTACCAAACTGTAGAATGGATTTAGTAATAGTTTTATTCACTTCACTACAACCAAAAGCTTGTTCTAAAAATAGCTTCTTTGGTTGGTTTTAGGACTGCATCTTCCTCCCCAGTTTTGTTCACTTCAGTAGGCTCCAAAACTGATTACATAGATCTTAATTATGTCATCTGACTTAAGCATTCAAGGTCAGCATCTGTATTAGAGTATTAATGGAAATCAGCCAAGGACATAAGTCTCTCCAAGTTCAGCTGAAAAGTCCTCCAAGATAAGTCTGTGATTTCCTTGATGGCAGCTGCAAAACCAGTTTTTCGGTTACAACTGACAAAGTTGTTACCTCCAGCCTGGTACTGCGCAACATAAACAGCATCCAAAACATCAAGATCTTTAGTGAACTTTCTCACATTTGCTGTGCCACCATCAGTTTGCATGAAGAATTTATGCACCATGATCTTTCTATAATGGAGCTTTAAATTGTGAATGACCCCTTCAACCATAGTCTGGTGTAGAGAAATTGTACTGGGCAGCAGAAAATTCAGTTTCACATTTGTAAATTCTGGAGTAGGGTGGGCTGAACAATTGAGAATCACTGCAATTTTCCTTTTCTTTTTCCCCATCTCTTTGTCAATGTTCATAAGCCATTCAGTGAATCTGATGGCAATCATTCATGCATTCCTGTTTGTTTTATAGATCATAGACAGGGAGGGGACACCAGGAAAACAACATGGCATTTTCCGGTTTTCAATCAGAAGAATTTTCATTTTATCTTTGCCAGTTTGGCTTGGACACACAAGAACAGTGACTCTTTCCTTTGCTATTTGGCTGCTAATGATGACTTTTTAAAGGCCAGAATTTGGCCAAGATTGAGGGAAAGACATCTGTTGTCCAGTGCTTGAGTTGAGATACCAGTATCTCTCTCAACATGGCTCCATTTAAATGCAATGGTAGTTCATGCTTTCCGCCAGCAAAGCCACCTGTTGACTGGTTCAAAATTTTCAAGTCCCATTTCTGTTGCAATGTTTTGTGCTTTCCTGATCAGTAACTCACCTGTAATTGATATGTTCTGATGATGTGTATGAACAAACCAGTGCAGAAGTGCCTCCTCTACCCCCTTCTTTTTCTCCACCTGTTGCCATTTTTGATTGTAGTTTGAACCACTGTGCTACTCGTTTAGGATCTCTCTCTTTTTCTTTAAGATCTTACTCACAGTTGAGACTGAAAACGGCAAGGAAACATCTTTTTGTCTGTTAGCTGGATTTGCCATCTGCTTTATCAGCTGGACTTGTCTGCAAGAGTCAAGTTGTGGGTCTTTAGTTTCTGGCTCTCCTTGACTCTTTCTAGATAAGTCCTTTAGATATAGTTGTCAAACAAAAAATAACCCTATACCTCTACTGACACTGTGTTAACTGAAGCATGAAGCCAGTAGATTTTAAATTGGCATTAAATGGGAAAATATTTAATGTCAGCTGAAATTGAACAGGCATATTTACGTTCAGTTGATACAAAAAGTGTTGGTCCCAATAAGTAGATTTTCCTATTAAGGAAGTGACATTAGAAGAATTTGACCACATACTAACATTTTCATTTTTCTGGATTAGTTATTCAAATCCAATAACTCTATCCAAGAATGCAGCAAACTTTTCTGGCTGTCCAGGAGGAAAGGGTTTCAGTGTTGACAAATCGATTGACTTCAATGACTCCAAAAGGGTGCTATAAAAACAAAGCAAAAACAAAGGCAACATGAACGATTAAATACTACACATGGGGGTATTTTGTCTTTCACTATTTTTCTAATCTAGCCTTGAAGCATGCATGCACATGATTCCCTTTGGCATTAGATTAGCAACAAGAACACACATTAGAGGGAAAAGAGACACCACAGGTAGAAAGAGAATTAGCATCATGAAACGGATACTATTTCAGCACGACTACTCCTGGGGGAATTTTGCACACTGCATGTGGGGGCGGGGGGGCGGGCACACAATTCATACCTTCCACAGATTTCTTGGCTCCCACGCAGAAAAATGAGGGGAACACATTTCCCTTCCTTGGCAGCCCGGAGAACATCTGCTGGGAGCAGTGGACAGCAGAGAGCAGATCACCGAGGCGGGGGGGTGGAGGGGGGAAGGAAGGGAAGGGAAGGGAAGGGAAGGAAGGCTGGACGTGTCTGTGGAGAGACAGTAAGGTGGTGGGGCTGGCCGCCTGCCTGCATGCAAATGAGTGAGAGAGACTCACTCTGTCCCTCTCCTCGCTATTGCTGCATCCTGGGCATAGGACTGTGTGAAGCTGGCTCTGTGCCTGAGGCAGAGCAGAAATGTAACAACTAAACAGGTTTCAGAGTAGCAGCCTTGTTAGTCTGTATTCGCAAAAAGAAAAGGAGTACTTGTGGCACCTTAGAGACTAAAAATTTATTTGAGCATAAGCTTTCGTGAGCTACAGCTCACTTCATTGGATGCATTCAGTGGAAAATACAGTGGGGAGATTTATATACATAGAGAACATGAAACAATGGGTGTTACCATACACACTGTAACTAGAGTGATCACTTAAGGTGAGCTATTACCAGCAGGAGAGCGGGGGGGGGGGGAGAGGAGGGAAGGAGCCTTTTGTAGTGATAATCAAGGTGGGCCATTTCCAGCAGTTGACAAGAACGTCTGAGGAACAGTGGGGGGTGGGGGACAAAGCCATATATGTCCACATATCTATTCAGGGGACATCATCATAGGGCCTAATCACATCAGCCACACTATCAGAGGCTCGTTCACCTGCACATCTACCAATGTGATATATGCCCTCATGTGCCAGCAATGCCCTTCTGTCATGTACATTGGTCAAACTGGACAGTCTCTACGTAAAACAATAAATGGACACAAATCAGATGTCACGAATTATAACATTCAAAAACCAGTTGGAGAACACTTCAATCTCTCTGGTCACTCGATTACAGACCTAAAAGTCTTCAACAAAAAAACTTCAAAAACAGACTCCAATGAGAGACTGCTGAATTGGAATTAATTTGCAAACTGGATACAATTAACTTAGGCTTGAATAGAGACTGGGAGTGGATGGGTCATTACACGAAGTAAAACTATTTCCCCATGTTTATCCCCCTTCCCCTTCCTCAGACGTTCTTGTCAACTGCTGGAAATGGCCCACCTTGATTATCACTACAAAAGGTGTCCCCCCCCCCGCTGGTAATAGCTCACCTTAAGTGATCACTCTGGTTACAGTGTGTATGGAAACACCCATTGTTTCATGTTCTCTGTGTATATAAATCTCCCCACTGTATTTTCCACTGAATGCATCTGATGAAGTGAGCTGTAGCTCACGAAAGCTTATGCTCAAATAAATTTGTTAGACTAAGGTGCCACAAGTCCTCCTTTTCTTTTAACTAAACAGGCAGGCTGCTAATGTTCCCATTGTTAGTTAATTGTTCCCATTTTCCTCAATTAAGGCTCCTTTACCTTGCCATAGCGGTATAAAAGGAGCCTTATTGTAAATGACAGTAAGGGAATCCTCAGCTAGGAAGGTCTGTACGGGCTTTCTCGCTTTTTCTTCTGTGCCAGAGAGGCACAATGGGGTCAGATTACAGCTCAGGATCTATTTTAATTATCCATTTAAAATAAATGCAGGACAATGACTAACAAAACTGTATGACTTTCATGTGTGAAACTCTGAGTGATTTAAAGCGGCAGTCTACTTTACAGTACACCAAACACCAAAATAAAAGTAATGTAATCTAAATGAAAATCCAGGATTATAACTGGAATGCAGAGTCTTGGTTACCAAGAATTCATAACATAAATTTCATGTGTTTAGAAAATGCTGAACAATTATTTTGATTTTTTTTCTATGGTATAAATAAAGTACCAAAATAAATGAAACTGGTGTGATTATATTGCATTATTTTGACAAATAAAATATCCAGAATTTTGGATTTTTTGTTACAGAATTCCCCCAGGAGTAACATGACTAATGGTTTTTCCTTTCAATGTGGAGCCAGATTCAGAGTGGGTTAGGTGCTGTCCTTCAGATCCCTTCTCAAAATTCTTCTTCCACTAAACATTTTCACTTGGTTATTTTTGTGTCTCATGATAGCAGTTTTAAATTTAGCAAAACATAAGAAATTACCATAATAACCCAATGTTCCCAAACATGAATCATAAAACACATAACATGTACCCTAAAGCTTTCCCACTGTCCCTTCTTAATTTTTCCTGAATGATTTTTCACTTATGAAGGACAATAATATTCATTGTGTTATCTGTGTTTATATTAAGTTTAAGATTCTTGAGAGGGAACTTCATCTTATTTTATTCATTAATAGTACCGTGCACATATAAGTAATAAGATTACTTACATTTAAGACACTTGTGAATGCATTTCACATTATCCAATCTGTATCCTGTTTTTACCTTCCTAAGATCTCCTGACTACAGACATCCACACAGAGTCTTGACCAGGTGTTAGAATTAAGTTGACAGCAGGAGCAATCAGTGTGCAAGACAAGAGAGCTTGTGTCAGATCTAAATGGTTATTCCACAACTCTGCCTCTGGGTAGGATAGTGGTTGATCAACCCAAATTTCTGATGTTGTTTTAAGGTTGTATTAAACATGAAGACCTAAATCATTTCAAACAGTAGCTTCTGAAGAGACAGGGCCTTTTATTAATTTACCTTACTGTCATAAATATAAAGGGAAGGGTAAACTCCTTTGAAATCCCTCCTGGCCAGGGGAAAGCTCCTCTCACCTGTAAAGGGTTAAGAAGCTAAAGGTAACCTCGCTGGCACCTGACCAAAATGACCAATGAGGAGACAAGATACTTTCAAAAGCTGGGAGGAGGGAGAGAGACAAAGGGTCTGTATGTCTGTCTATATTCTGTCTTTGCTGGGGATAGACCAGGAATGGAGTCTTAGAACTTTTAGTAAGTAATCTAGCTAGGTATGTGTTAGATTATGATTTCTTTAAATGGCTGAGAAAAGAACTGTGCTGAATAGAATAACTATTTCTGTCTATCTTTTTTTGTAACTTAAGGTTTTGCCTAGAGGGGTCTCTATGTTTTTGAATCTAATTACCCTGTAAGGTATCTACCATCCTGACTTTACAGGGGGGATTTCTTTATTTCTATTTACTTCTATTTTTATTAAAAGTCTTCTTGTAAGAAAACTGAATGCTTTTTCATTGTTCTCAGATCCAAGGGTTTGGGTCTGTGGTCACCTATGCAATTTGGTGAGGCTTTTTATCCAACATTTCCTAGGAAAGGGGGGTGCAAGTGTTGGGAGGATTATTCATTGTTCTTAAGATCCAAGGGTCTGGGTCTGTAGTCACCTAGGCAAATTGGTCAGGCTTTTTACCAAACCTTGTCTAGGAAGTGGGGTGCAAGGTTTTGGGAAGTATTTTGGGGGGGAAAGACGTGTCCAAACAGCTCTTCCCAAGTAACCAGTATTAGTTTGGTGGTGGTAGTGGCCAATCCAAGGACAAAGGGTGGAATATTTTGTACCTTAGGGAAGTTTTGACCTAAGCTGGTAAAGATAAGCTTAGGAGGTTTTTCATGCAGGTCCCCACATCTGTACCCTAGAGTTCAGAGTGGGGGAGGAACCTTGACACTTACAAAGTATGTTACTTAGATCTATTGGCCAGTGCTGCTTTCTACCAACTTCAGAGGTTTGGATTTGTATGGGTGTTTTTTCCCCCCTGAACAGTCTGAATAACTGCAACTCAAATGCCCTCACTTTTGCTCTGTTTAGAGTGTTCATCATTTAATTGGAATCAGTAGTGCCCTATTAAATGATAACCTTGGAACCAGATTTTCAAGGATTTGGTGAAAGTAGCACCAAGCATAACTCTAGTAGTAATCTACCCTGGAAAAAATATGTAGCAGTGGTAGACTAGCTCTGGAGGGATCAAGTCACTGTCTGTTTGCGGAAGAGTTACTGACTTTTGCCTTTGATGTACAGTTGCAGAGAAGAGATTCTCCCCTCCCATAAATCTGTGTGTTGTAAGTTATACTGTAAAATAAAACTGTAAAAACTATGTATAGCACAATGGGCTCCTAGGCCATGACTAGGGCTCCTATGCACTACCTTAACACTCATAATGATAATACTTGTTCAGTCAGGATGGCTGCTATCAATTTCTTCTAAGGGAACAAAGTGAGAACAGTTGGCTGTACCCCTAGAAAGAGGCACAAATGATATGAAAATATGTTCCATACCTACAAGTGCAGTAAAAGAGGTGTCCATCTTTGTATAGTTGCCTGGCTAATTCTAGCTGATGATTGTTCATCAGCTTTTCATTTACAACCACCAAGAGTGGTTTTCCTTTTTCCAGTGTCTCCAAACAAGTGCCTGCACCTAAGAAGAAACCAGTAATATGAACAGTATTTGCACATGTGCAGCCAAGTTTCACCTTACACTCTTGCACTAAAAACCAATTCACCCTGAAGTATTTACTCACGCCAAACTCCTATTATACTGAATGATTCCACTGACATTTGGTTTGAATGGGAGTTTTGATAAAAAGGTTACAAAATTTAAACTGGCGACTGTCACGGAGCCATAGGATTGGTGCTGTGCCTCCAGCTTTGGAAAACTCTCTAGGAGGAACACCATCAATGTGCCCGTGCCCCATTGGGTCTCACTCTTCCTGCACAGCGTCGGCCTTGGGGCCTCACCACCTCCTTCGACTCGACCTCTGGGCTCCAGCTCTCCCGTTTCACGCTGTGAGCTCTGTTCAGTGAGTCCAAATGAGCTAGACTCCTGCTAGGGACTTGTCCACTCTTTGGGAATTAATGCACCTCACCAAGCATTTGCAGACACACTCAAACTGCATTGTCAAAACATTAGGGTTTATTAGTCAACTGGAATACAGCATAGGAAGTTTTTAGGGCAGCATAGGGAACTGAAGGTTAAACGACAATTCTGGCTAACTCCCAGAGTCCAGACCAGCTGTAGTGACCCACAGGGTTCAAGCTCTCGCTCTCTGACCTCCTTAGAGCTAGCCTACCTGGCAATGCTAAAGTGCTGCCGTGGCCACGCTTTAACATGGCTTGTGCGGTCACGGCACAGCCCTGGGAGAGAGCTCTCCCAGTGCTCTCAAAAACCCACCTGCACGAGGGGCCCGGCTCCCAGTGTTGGTGCACTGTCTACACTGGCGCTTTACAGCGCTGAAACTTGCTGTGCTCAGTGGGGTGTTTTTTCACACCCCTGAGCGAGAAAGATGCAGCACTGTAAATTGCCAGCGTAGACAAGCCCCCAGTCAGTTCCCAGGTGAGAGAGGTCTCCTTCCAGCCGCCAGTTCTTATCCCCCACCTCACAGCTTTGCCATCCTTTGTCCTTGAGCTGGTATGTTGCTGAGAGGTGCGGAAATCTCTCTCCTTCTGGGTCACTGGCTGCTAGTTGTCGCTATCCTGGTGATTGGATTTGCCACTTGTCTCAAATCCTCCACTGACATGAGGTCAGCCTCTGCCAGTCCTTTTCCAATACCCCGTTGACGCTCAGACAGCGAGGTGACATTCATACGGATGCCCCTTAGCCTGCCCTGAGAGCAAACAGTCCTTTTCCACCCCTTGGGTAACAAGGCAGCATACAGGGGAAACCCAGGCACGCACCGGAGTCATGAAACGAGGACAGAAAATCCCCACTTCAGCACGGGGACAACGCTACAAGCTCTAAAACGTGCCAGTGGCCCCTCAGGCTATGCCAGTTTGCCTGGCCCCCGCCCTAGAGCAACGACAGCGCTTCAGATCACCGGGGCTGCCCTGCCCCGGCTCACAGGAGGCAGGCTCTCGGCAGCCGCCCGCGGAGCTCACCTCCCTGGCGCCGGGGCAGCTGCCGGCGCCAGACGCCGCCGCCTTACCTGCGTGGCTGATCACCAGATCCGCTTTCTCAAGGTCCTCAGCCAGCGACTCCTTGAACCGGAACACGTCCAGTGTAAACGCCGCCGTGCGGAACGGGGCCGGGGCCGCCGCCCCTCCGCCAACCTGCAGGACGAGTCTGCCGTAGCCGAGGCTCCGCAAGACCTACAGCGGGTCGGGTGGGGGGCATGTTACCGCGGCGGCGAGAGGGCTGGGTGGGGCCGCCCCGCGGGGCCAGCCCCGCTTCTCCCCTCGCGCGCACGAGCCGGCTCCTGACGGGCGCGGCGCCGGCTGAGGGGAACCGACCGCCCCGCGCGGGAGCCAGCCCCGCGGCCCAGCAGACGCTCCCACCCCGCGGGCAGGGAGCGGCTGGGGGCCTGCGGCGCGAGCTGGGGCAGGCAGGAAGCCGGGAGCCGCGGCAGGCCCTGGGTTGCACTAGGCCTCGCCGCCTGTAGGAAGGGCGCCGCGGCCTCACCTGGAGCGTCTCCGGGGTGGTCACCGCGGCGATCAGCTCCTCGAAGCTGGTCGTCCCCACGGTGACAAAGGCCGATTTCATGGCCACCGCTTCGCCTGGGCCGGGCCGGGGGCGGCCGAGCGGCGTCTCTCCCGGACAGCCGGGATGCGAGCGGCCGCCAGGGGGCGCGCTCGGTTCAGCGAAGCCGGGCCTGTCCCGAGCGGCGAGCCCCACGCTGGGCGAGCGGCCCAGGGGGCAGCGTCACCCCAGTGACATATGGTCGGGGGGGGGTCTATCACACAAATGTTACCCACACACAGACGCACCCACATGGCCCCCAGAGTAACCCCTGCCCATCCCCTGTGAACCCCGAAATAAAGGTAACCAAAGCAATCCTCAGCCTGCCCTCAGAGCCAGGTGTTCCTTTACTGCTAAGCACAAAGTTGCTATTTGGTGTTGTTTTTACCCAGCAGTGGGGAGATGCTTTCCCCAAGAGACAGGAGCTAGGCTGGGGCCTGGAGAACGGACAAGGAGCTAGCATGCAACGATCTAAGTTTACACCTAGTCTGCTATTTTCATTTTTGTTACTTATTTTTATCACAAGAATTCCTGACCAACTGTGGCTTACATAGCTTCGATAAAGAGCAGAGATTTTCCTCTATGCCATGCTCCAGTGCCCTCAATGTCAATGAAACAAACCACCCTGGAAAGACCAGAAATGGGGAATACCCACTCATTCCCAAACAAAACTGTGGTTAATGGAGACCTGGCAAAGACATATCTCTTCCTGTGTGCTTTAAGAGCCCAACTACACTCTTATACATGGTTTTCATTTTATACATAGTTTAATTTTAATTTTTCAAAGATTTTAGCAAACATCCAAAAATTTGACAAAATTAGTGTTTCTGATTCATTTCGCTGTGCAGAAATGGGAGACAGAAACAAAGTCCAGACAACTCACATTTGGATAATTAGCCTTCAGATAATCATGGTTTATTTGTAGGTGTTACTGCAGCACCTACCGCTGTTACATCTGGCATAATAACTGTAAAACCTACTCCTTTGCCATGATTAAAACACAGTTCATTTTTGCAACTTTTTTTGTCCCTGCAGAGTTAACTCAGGCTCTTAATCAGCTGTTGCCCATAATCTCGCCCTCAAGCCCTCCCTGCCACTGCTCCATCCATGCAGAACCCTCTGACCTGAGTTTAGTGATGCTTTAAACCCAGTTTAGCTGGGTGTTAGAGCTCAGGGGCCACTTTTACTCAGGCTGGTAACCCTCCCAGTTTATGATGCAGAAGTAGCCTACATCACCAAGTGCTAATAGACCTCCAATGCCTTCCCACAATACTCTCCCCCCACCCCCACCCCTCCTTCCCATTGCCTAGGAGGACAGACAAGTTCTCTCACAATTTACTGGAAAGAGCAACTCAGCTTACTGCAGTACCAAGAACTATGGGATATGTCCCCCAAACTCCTGATGACCCATTGGTGAGTGCAGCACCAGTGAGGACACATTAGCTCAGGTATGTATGACTTCACTGTGTGGCTGCTCACATTTGAGTATATCTGCATGTTGCGCTGGGGGTGTGATTCTAGCTTAAGGAGATGTACTTGTGCTAGCTCTCAGTGAACTAGTGTGCTAAGAACAGAACGTAGCCATAGGAGCATGAGCAGCAGGATGGGCTAGCCACCATAAGTACATACCTGGTTTCTCTGACAGGCATGTACTCTGGGTGGTTAGCCTTCATGCTGCCATAACTACACTCTTTAGTGCATTAGCTCGATCAGCGCTAACATGAATATGTCTCCTCAAGCTGGAAATCACACCTCTAGCTCGAAGTATAGACACCCTTTAATTCTATTCCTCCTGTTCCCACCTGGAACTTGCTACTATCTACTTCTTGATTACTTTGTTTCTTTTAATTTCCTTCCCTGTTTTTTTCCTCCTGAGGTCCCATCTGACACCTGTCTCCCGTTGTCTCTCTTCAGAGCAAACCACCTGTTCTCTGGGGAGGAGCTACACTACCTCACTATTACAATTTCAGAATAGCAGCTGTGTTAGTCTGTATTCGCAAAGAGAAAAGGAGTACTTGTGGCACCTTAGAGACTAACAAATTTATTTGAGCGTAAGCTTTCGTGAGCTACAGCTCACTTCATCGATGCATCCGATGAAGTGAGCTGTAGCTCACGAAAGCTTATGCTCAAATAAATTTGTTAGTCTCTAAGGTGCCACAAGTACTCCTTTTCTTTTCACTATTACAATGTTTCTAAAGGAAAATGTGAACCACACACGTGGTTTGTTCAGATGTCATTCTCCTCCACCATCCAATCAGAAACTTGGGGGTGGAACTGTATACTAAAATAATAGTAATATTATATTTCCATGTACATGTATGAAAGGATGAGATTTTAATAGATACATTCTGGTGAGCATTGTTTTCTCAGGCTCCTCAAAACCAGGTGAATTCCTCCCTTCTCTGTCAGTGGATTAAAGAGTTTGGTGCAGTGACAGTTGTAAGAGCCCACGGGAACAAACCAACACAATAAAAGGCTGTTAGTGGAGCAGTTTCTGAGACTTGTTGTGTATGAAGAAAATCCAGGGTACCTAGAAGAGTAAGATAATACATATTAGAAGTGTAGTTTTAGCAGAGATAAGGAAGTTAAGTACAGATAGGAAAATAAGAAGGACTATAGTTTCCCTTGAGCAGCATTCACTGTCTTCCTTGACACCTACTCAGAGCAGAGGGTCTTGTCTAGAGGTCTCTGCTAGCTGTCCTCTTCTGGTACCCTTTGAGTGAATCTGCAACTTTAGCCCTTTATATTTGTCCTAAGGCATTTATAATATGGCCAACCCTGTTAAAAATCATGAGTCAGGCCCCCCAAAATCATGATAGTGTCTTAAAAATCATAAGGTTTTTTTTAAAAAAATAATACATTTTTGTTTTCTTTGTATAATGATTTTTGACCCTTCAAAGTGTTATTGGGCCACTTTTTCAAGCTCTTCTCTGAAAAAAATTTTTTTTAAATGAAAGCTGAGATTCTTTTGCAATGTCTTATTCCAGTAGTTGGGGCTTTAAGAGAAATACCAAATGTTGTGAGGCTTGCACTAAAACCACAAGAGTTGGCAACAGTGCCTTTAGTTGACCTCTGAGTCTTTCTAGCTCTTTCTCTTTTCTTTTTTTTTTGCAACAGAAAAAAAATTATTTTTTTGCAACAGGAAATTATCGTTCCTCTGGGGCTTCACTCACTACCCTGAAGGTCAAATAAAGTAAAGCCTTTCACCAGTACCAAAACAGCACACACTTAAAACTATCATGGTATGGGAGACAGAAGGAAAAGAGACAAATGTGGTTTCAATTCTTAGTGTTATATTTTATTTAGAATCCTGTAAGCATAAATAACTCTGGCTCTGTATGTGGTCTTGCAGATAGAGAGCATTAACTAAAAATAAATCCCAGAAATTATGCATGTTCTCCTGGAAACCAGTGTCTGGTGACCCTTTGTTGACCTCCAAAAAATCCTGTGCACAAAGGAGACATAAAAGATTTTAAATGCTTCAGGTTACAGAAAGTGAACCTTTCAGGAGAGCCAAGAATGCACATTACCTTGACATGTAACTCTGCAAAGAGCTTAAAAATGAACAGCAATGAGACAGCAAGCATTGCCTAGTAGACTGAGCACCAGGCTAGGATCCATTGTGCTCCTGAGTTTTAATCTTGCCTCTATCACTAACAGGCTATTGCACCTTGGGCAAACCATTTACCCTTTCTGTGTCTTCACCTGTAAAATGGGATTACTTCTATTTACCTATGTATGCTTGCCAGGGGGGAGGTGTGAGGATTAACAAATCAAAGGGAAATTGAATAATTTTAAAACAAACATTCTCTTTAAGTTGCAAATTGTAATTTTAAAAGGAAGAATAATTGTAAAAGGGTTTTTCTGTCTCTCTCCCCCCACATGTTTAGAAGGGCCTCTTGAAAGGTTTGTGATTATTATCACCAGACATGGTCAGAGCTACCCATCTGCTTTTCTCTCTGAGCACTCTCCTGCCTTCAGTTTCAGCTTTGCCTCCTCCCTTTTACTGTCCTCTTGCAAGGCCTGTGGAAAAGCATGTCTCCTGATGGCCTGCAGAATACAGTCCTATGAGAACCGAGAGACAGGGGATTAGAGAGGTCCTGTTGGGATGGGAGATCAGTCCATGTGACACACTTTTTCCTACAAAGTGACCCACAGTACAGAACAGCAGGTAAACTTGTGTGCCACTGTGCTTTACATTGTCACAGGGTGACAGCCTGACTGGCCCTTTTCCCACCTGTGACTCGTCTGCCTCCTCAGGTGGGGGAAATTAGAGTAGCTCTATGACAGGGAGGTCATATGGGTAAATTAGTCTAGGCCTGGTAATAAAAGGGAAGCTTCTAAAAAGGGAGATGAGGCCTGTTTTGCTCATCTAGTCTAGGCTAGATGGGATACAGTTGAAAGGGTCTAGCTTGGATGGAGCTGAGTAAAGGCTGCAGCTGGCCTGAATGATCAGTACAGAGCCCAGAAGGAGAGCTGTGGCATTTCTGACCTAAGAAGGGAAAAACCTTTGCAAGTTAACAGTGCAGATCCTAGGAGGAGGGTTGTGGGATCCTGGGAACAAGGACTGGACTGGAGGAGTGAAGGAGCAGTTTGATTTGCTGTTAGAGACTTAATAAATAAAATCTTACAAAGCAGAAATTTAGTTTACAGCATTCTGGTCTGTGAGTGACTTCTTACAAGGGCCCCAGAGACAGTTAAAGCCAGTACCTGAAGGGCCATGTTGTACCACAGGGGGGTGCTCTGAAAGGACTATCTTACACATACGGTATATGGGTAGGGCTTCTATTATATCTGCTTCCACTATAGTATATGCTTTAGAAATCACTCCCTTGTAGTCTGCATTACTGCTCTGTGTAGACAAGCCTTCGGTACAAGTAACCGTTGCTGGTGTTTATTGGATAAACTCCAGTTTATTATTTTTTTAAGTGGGGGTGTTTTATTGGTTATAAAACCAATTATGGTTATAAAAATTGAAAATCAGAAGCCCTATATATGGGACCGTGCAAATCTGATACTGTTTTCCTATGGCAAGAGTGAGGTCATTGTGTTAGTGGAGGAAGTGCAATGGGACATACACAAAGTGCTGTCAAAGCACAAAGGAAACACTGATAAACAGAAGAAAAATATTTTCCCCTCCATCTTTCAAATTATAGTCCTTTTAGGAGTTAACTTGTAACAATGTCCAAATGATCAGATTGAAATGAGATTTTCAAGATAACCACATCTCTTTACTGTTTATACAATACTGTACAGAGCATTAGATTTCCATATGTGCTAGCAGTCTCCTAATTAAAACTTTGCTGAAAAGCAGCAATATTGTCATATGAGCAGAACACGTGAATGTTTTCAAAAAGTTTTAGAGTATCTTAATTTTGTTTTGTAGGGCTCTGAAGAACAGCGCCCATGACGCAAACATCCCACTCTATGCACCCTGTTCCAGTATGAGCTGTCCTGATGATGCGTCAGTCACTGTAGTAAGCATGAGTTAGCACATGGAGTGCGAACAGAATACAGCTCGCATCTGAGAATGTGGTAAGATTTTTGTTTTCTCAACATTAAGTGGATCTGTGAGGTTTTCAATATCTTATTTTTATAGAGATTGAGCTTGTAACATTTATTATGTGTCAAATACCATTGAAGTCAATGGGACTACTTACATGAGCAAGGATAGCAGGATTGGGCTCAGGTCTTTTAGTGTATTAAGCAAGAGTGTTTATGGAGAAAACTATAAATAATCATTTTAAAACTATGGTGAAAATTCTGTTTATCCTATTTACATGGCAAGTCTACTGCTGAGAGGAGCAATATTAACTGAAAACTGAGTACAGTGGGGCTAGTCATATGCATAAGCTTTTGTAGGATGAGAACCCTGCCTGGCCCTTTAAAATTGCTCCTGTTAGGAGATTTCCTGCCTGTAGGATGACTTCCATTGAAGTTCCTGTAGCTATGACTCTTACTTCCTGCAGGGCAGGAGGAATTCTATCTACCTTAGGGTTTTATACTGCCGCCCATTGTTGTAGTATCAGAGTGCTTTCCACATAAAATCAGTGAAGTCCCTAATGGACTTCATGGAGTCTTTGGCATCTCTCCATTGTTGGGGGGACAAAACTCTTCTTGGGTAGTGGGTGTTTTTTTAATTTTTGGTTCAAACAAAAACCCTACATCTGATACATAAATACAAGTGTCCACCATTGTAGCACAGAATAATCCTTTACTGGCCACAGAAACTGAACCACAAATACACTGTCTTAAGCCTAATGCAATACACAGTAGTACATGTGAGAAAGAACTACCAAAAGTAAGCACTAATCCTATTTATTTCCTGAGTTAGTTAATATGACAAGGTCACACACAACAACTAGTGTTTTTTAGGAAGATGCACAAAAGATTTAGCGAATCTAATTATACAGCTGTTTGTCATGTTGATAGTTCATTAACAATGATAATTAATGCCCCATTGCTTTAATTTAGCACAAGCCAAACTGCAAATTGTTTAAGTTAAATAAAGCAGACTATACTGATTAATGGATATTTAGAAAGGTTGTGTTTGAATTTAGTAGATATTATGATGTGATACAATATTGGCATGGATGTGTGGAAGCCAGAGTTTAGGTTGAATGTTAATATTCTGGATTTACACAGGTGTGATTGAGATCAGATTCTGCATTGGAGTCAGTAAGTCTCTAAATCTTTTTGAGAATATGTAAGTGATATTTTTAAAAAACAAAACAAAAACAAGCTTTCAATATAATATTCTAATAGTTGTGAAATACCATGTAAAGTTAGGTGGGGGAAAAGCCTTTTCTAAAATAAAGGTACAGACATGAAGCCACTCCAATACATTAGTAAGCAGAAGCCTCCTCAAACTTCATATCAGCAGATTAAAATGCATATTCAGAAAAATTGAGAGGTTTTCACTAGTCTCAGTCTGTCTGTTATTCAGATGGGTGGTAGTGCTGAGGTTTGACGTACATGCTGATAGTGTTGTGGGAATTAATACAGGCCTCCTTCCTTATTATCAAAGATTGCTTTGGCCATTTGTGTGTCTGTGTCCCAAAAAGCTAGAGTATGCTCCTCCATTTTATGCTGTATTCTAAAACCTACTGAATGATACCTGTCAGTGTTCTATATTTGGCTTGAATTGTGACTCCCCTAGGGCTTCTCAGGAGTGTGCCATGTTAAGTAACAATAAATATTACACATTGCTAAAGAAAAAACTAGTAGGTTGACCTCTTGGTAAGCCCCATATGGGTTATGAGTTTTGAACTAACTTTGGTCCCAAATGTGCATAACTTTTATTCCAATGCAGTTATTAATCAAAGCTCTGTTTATCAAAACATGTTTCAAAGTTAGGAAAACACAGTAGAGTTCTTCCTACATAAAATGGGCCTGATTCTTTTCTGGTGCTAATCACCTTCATTTTCTACATGTGTTGAGTGTGCTCAGCACCTTGCAAGACCTGACCCTACATCACCAGCCTGTCAAAGATAATCTGTCCTCAATTTATTTAATCTAAACCACCCAAGATTGATGGCCTATCACCAGGGAGCCCTGACTACTCTGGGAGTGCTTTTAATAGTCTATGTCTGAAATACTGTATGCAGGAAGGAAATTGAAATGGGGGTGGTGGTGGGGGGAAGAATCTGCATACTTATCTCACTGTAAACATATTACAAATTAAAAGTATTATAAATAAATGAAAATGGGTGGGTACATTTCTATGGAGAGCCTTACATCAGAAAACAGGTACAAATCCTTTCCTTCTTATACAGGGCCCCAAAAGGAGTGGGAATGCTGTGCAGGGCTGGGGGAGGATGAGAGAAGGTGCGTGGGGGAATGACAGAGGGATAGGGCATTCATTGGATTAATCCTCCACATAAGGAGGGGATTTAGATAGTGTGACCACTACTATAGTCTGCAGTGTTGCCAACTCATGACTTTTACTGTGAGTCTTGCAATATTTGGTGTCTATCTTATATCCCCAGCTCCTAGATTCATGTGAGAATCTCAGCTTAATTTTTTTTAAGTTGGTTTCTAGCCCTTATGGCTGCAGAGAAAAGCTTGAAAATGTGACTGAGTGTCCCTGAAAGCTCTGAGACCAGCAAGCAAATAAAAACAATAACATTGATTTAAAAATCATATTTTTTTTAAATTAGTTTAGTGATTTTTCTGAGGCCTGTCTCATGATTCTTGAATGCCTGGGGCTGAGTCCATGGGCTGAAGTGTAATCCATAGTATGGCACAGCTGTGCTGGTGCTCCGTGCCCTGCCAATGGATTGGGGTATTCCCCTTAATTCTGACTTGACTCATGGGAACAGAAGTTGGTATTTAGCCTGTACTTCATCAGATCCTCAACTAATGTATATTGGCGTAACTCCGCTGACTGTGATGGAGCTATGCTGATTTATACCAGCTGAGGATCTGGTTTGCTGCATACACATGATGCTTAGTCTCCTCTCAAATGTAGATAAAAATGCTGTATTACAGAAATGGAAAATGGGCCTCAAAAAACCAAGAGAAAACACTAATTTACAGTCAGTGTAAGAGACATGCAGAAAATTGAAAAGGAAACAAAATAGTTTGTATAGTGGTCAAAATACAGGTCTTTGCAAAGGTCTGAAAGGGAGTCTGTAACATATCATAAGGAGAGCTATCGTGGCTGTGAAGGTTCAATATGGCTGGCGTTTCCTGGCAACCAGTCTCTTGGATATCCTCTAGGGAACCTCAACTGGTGACAGTTTGGCACTGTTTCTTGCTCTCTGTGAAATGATATTCCTGTATCCCAGCTACCAGAAAATACATCAGCAGCAATCCACTATGTGAGTCCAATACCATTTCAGATGTTCACACAATCCCTTGGATATACCTGTTTTATTTTAAATTAATTTTCATCCAGGTAAATCACGTTCTCTGAAATCTCTGAGCTTTATTCTCCAAAGGCAGCTGTGTTAGTATAAGTGTAATCAGATCCTTAGGTGGTATATGTGCATTTTCACAGGCACAAAGACCTGCTGTACGTCTAAAATATTCTGTTCCTCCTTTCAGTATAACCCTACCCATAGAGATGTATAGACATCACCACTGTTGTCTATACAATGTACATGCCGTGTGGGAATAGCTTAAGAATCTAGTTAACTAAAAGCGCCACTAAAGGCCTGAAGAGGAAACTGAAAAAGCAGCCAAGTTGATAGGGAAGGCTACCCTCCTAACCCTAGACGGGAGGGGAACCCTTTTTCCCTAACAAAGTACTGAACAAGTAGCCACTAGAGGGCAGTGCTGCACATCCAGACAGACATTACGCCAGGCTCAAAAGACATCAAACAGACTAATTTTTACTCTTTCCAGTCCCTTTCATTAGCATCCCCACACTTACAAAATCCTTCTTACTGTTACTGCTGTCATCCATTTGTTATTGCCAAGCTCATTGTCAAAACAAAATGTAGAAAGAATCTGAATGTGTATTAGATTCATTTCACAGTGGAGGGACAGTGTAATGGGTTGTACCTGGCCACTGTGGCTCCCTACAGGAGACCCTGTGGTCCTACTACATCCTGCCCCAGCAAAGGTGGGGCCTCCAGGCCAGCTAGAGAGGTCTCATGGAAGCGGCCAATCAGCAGCCCAGCAGGCTCAGATAAAAGGAGTTGCATGCTCTTAGCAGGACAGTTCCGGGCTGGGACCAGAGGGGCAAGGAAAGGGGCTTCTCTCTGGCCACAGAAGTTTGACTGGCTGCATTTGCTTAAGCTGGGGGAGAGAGGACCTGAGAACTTTAACCCTAAGGTTAGGGGTGAAGATAAAGGGGCCAGGTGAGAAGAGGTCCAAGGGAACAGCAGCAACTAATTGAAATGAGTGATATATGGCGGGTGGTGGAACCAGGAATAGTGAGTGGGGCTGGGTTCCCCCACCAGCGAAGTGGTGTAATCTCTGAGCAGGGGACAAGACTCCTTTAGAAGCCCAAGCAAAGGGCTAAATTTAAAAGGTCCAGAGTCGGGGCTGAAGACCATGGTGAGGACAGATAGACAGTTTTTGTTGGACTCTTTACTATCATGGAAGGGGTTCATTTTGACTGTGACCAGGCTAGAGGACTGAGCCTCCGAAGACCTGCCAACCAAGTTCAACAGCCTGCTGCTGCAGGAGGTACCAGGGGATGAGAAAAGGACTGCCATGCCACATCCAGCCACTAGGAGGTGCTCAATAAAGTTACAGACTGATATAGGGATCTGGGATCTGCATGAGGCTTTGAGAATTGTGCTGTGTTCAGACTGAGAGCTTGTCTGGTGACAGAAAAAAGTACCTGAGGGATGTACACCTCCTCTTCTACGTGACATCTCAGATGGACATTCATTATTTTGAACTCTGCTTGTCCTCTTCTTTTAATTTTTAAATTGGGCTTAAACCTGATATTGTGTTTTCTTTTAGTAAATGTAATTCTTATGAAAAGTCCCAGTCGCCTGACACTGAGGAAGTTAAGTTCATTTTATCTACAGAACAAGTACAGCACAGGTATTGGTGGCACCAGCTCCCCCATCACTGCC